ATTGATAAATACAAGGCAAGACTTGTGGTGCAAGGATTCAGACAAGTTGAAGGTCTAGACTTCTTTGACACTTATTCTCCAGTGACGAGAATAACTTCAATCAGAATATTGATAGCTATTGCATCTTTGAGAGACCTGGAAATCCATCAGATGGATGTTAAAACAGCTTTCCTTAATGGTGATTTAGAAGAGGAAATCTACATGAAACAACCTGAAGGTTTTGTGACACCAGGTCAAGAACACAAAGTTTGTAAACTTGTGAAATCGCTGTATGGACTGAAACAAGCTCCAAAGCAATGGCATGAAAAATTTGACCACGTGATGATGTCAAATGGATTCAGCATCAATGAATGTGACAAATGCATTTACGTCAAGAACACTCCCAGTGGGTACGTTTTGCTGTGCTTATATGTTGACGACATGCTCATCATGGGCAGTAACAAGGATATAATCCAACAAACCAAGAACATGCTTAAGAGTCAGTTTGACATGAAAGACATGGGTCTTGCGGACGTTATTCTTGGTATTAAGATCACAAGGACTTCTGAGGGAATCACCTTATCTCAGGAGCATTATGCTGAAAAGATACTTGAGCGGTTCAAGAAGTATTCGAATGGAACTGCGAAAACTCCAGTGGATACGCAATTGCACTTGACTAAAAACTCTGGTGAAGGAGTGTCACAAGTTGAGTATGCAAGGATAATTGGAAGTCTGATGTACTTAACCAATTGTACCAGGCCTGACTTAGCGCATGCAGTGAATGTATTAAGCCGCTACACAAGCAATCCTGGTCATACACACTGGAAAGCCATAACAAGAGTGTTAAATTATGTGAGACACACTAAAAGTTATGGATTGCACTATGGTAAAGAACCTGCAGTCTTGGAAGGATACAGTGATGCTAACTGGATATCGGACTCAAAGAACTCAAAATCCACAAGTGGATATGTCTTTACACTAGGAGGTGCAGCAATATCTTGGAAATCTTCCAAACAAACTCTACTGGCAAGATCAACAATGGAATCTGAGTTCATCGCTTTAGACAAAGCAGCAGAGGAAGCAGAGTGGCTTCGGAATTTCTTGGAAGATATTCCTATGTGGGAGAAACCAGTACCGGCACTGCGTGTACACTGTGATAGCCAGTCGGCTATAGCCCGGGCACTGAACACTCTCTATAATGGTAAATCTCGTCATATCAGGAGACGACATAAAACCATTAGACACTTGATCACAACCGGTGTAATCTCGGTCGATTACATTAAGTCAGCTGATAACCTAGCGGATCCGTTTACAAAAGGTTTGACAAGAGATCAAGTTTTGAAATCATCTAAGGGAATGGGTCTTTTGCCTATGACAAAAGAGGATGTTTGATGGACACCCAACCTTCGCGATTGGAGATCCCAAAAGGCTGGTTCAAAGGGACAACTAAATCAAACAGAATCTGTTTACAGCACTGCAAGACAATATGTCTGAGCCCAGCTCCCAAAATGATGCACAGTGCTTCCTGTAAGTTTAAAGGATAAGCGTTGCTTTTAATGATATGAGTAGCTTTCATATATACAAGGAGTACTAACAGGATACTTTTCTTATATGACAGGAGCTCAATGAAATCACCTAGTGAGTGTGAAATGCGGCCGTTTCTAGGAGGATGAAGTCAGGCTATATTCTCTAAGTTCACTCATGATCAACCAGGAAAAGTTCAAGGCCACAATGAACGCAATAGAGAACTAAGTTCTACGAGAAAATGAAGCTGGGTTATAGCTGTTGTCTCGGTTTACATAAACATCCGGGTGGTTCAAGACATCGTGTTCACCTCCTGGCTAAGTAAACCCGACAGTTATTAACAGTGATTAGTTCAAGGCTGAAACATGCTACTACATCATATACAGTTAATTTTCGCTTATACTCTCGTAAAGTCCTTCTGTCAGTCTGTAGAGTCTGCATTATAGTCTTTCGAGTTAGTAGAGTCTGCATATGTTTTAGAGTCATTTCTATTCATGTGGGGGATTGTTGGAACCAAATTTTTAAGCCAAATGGGCTGAATAAAATTGTGGACAAGTGTGAAAAGAAATGGGCTTAGGCTCATGTAAAATTAATGAGAAAGTTAAGTGAGTTAAATGAAGGAGCACTTCATTTGTCCCAAATTGGAAAAAAGGAATAATGTCAAGAATAAATCTTCTAGAAACTTCTAGAAAGATTGAGTTCAGTTTCTGTTTGATAAACAAGAAATTAATAATGGAATTCTTCCTTATCCCTTAATGGAATAATAATTCTTCCTTATCCCTTAATGGAATTATTCATTATCTTTAATGGAATTATTCCTTATCTCTTTTGGTAAACATCAAAAAAGGATATTTCCTCCTTGGAGAGCAAGTCTCCTATCACCTATAAATAAAGGGCCTCACCCCTCTCATTATTCATTCATTCAATCATTCATAAATCAAACACTCCAGCAAATCTCTCACATCTCTTCCTTTCTTCTCTAAAAGTAAGTCTCGAGAGTATAGCGTAGTTATTTAGTTCGCAGATTCTGTAGTTGGGTGTTGCAACTATAGTCTCACACAGTTGTATCCTGGGATTCAAAAGTCTCATCAAAACCGCCACACTGCGGGAGATTTATTGAGTTAAGGAAAGAGATAAAATCTCGCCTCTGTGTATTCGTCTGTTTTCAATCGGATTTCTTACTATATATTATTATTATATAAGAATTTCATTCGTATTTTTCAATCTGGATTTTCGCGGTCCTACATTAACAATGCATATGCGACGAGGTGATCTTTAAGAGCAAAATTTTATTCAAGAATCTTTTGATTCATGGAACGACATTCCGAAGCCCGCAACACAGGATGCAGGATGCGATAGATTCATTGGAGACCATCATCTAGATGGAAGATAGAAGCAAAGAAGATGAGGAGAAGAACATGTGTGTTATTTGCCAGGAAGAGTTTGTTAGGGAACAAATTCTTCTGAAGTTTCCTTGTACACATGAATTTCGTTCAAATTGTCTCCGTACATGGCTAGAGAGAAAGCATGAATATGCTTGCTGCCGATATAAGTTAGATTCTTAAGTTGTTAGATTTAGATTAGATATTATGATTATGTATTTACTTGCAGTTGTAATTATGTAGTCTATTAAAATTTGTAAACTACTTATAAATGATCCACTATGTTTATTTTACTTCGTATGTGTTATATCATATGTTTTATGTTCTCTGGATTATTATTAAATATCTTTTTTTTTTAAGAATCATTATTAAATATTTACGCACATCAATAATCACTATTTTTCTATCAAAATTAATACAATGAGATATTCTAGAATCCGTACAGAAACTATTTAATCCTCTTAAACATTGGGTAAGACAATGAATATTACTTCTTGTACCTACTCAACTCTTATTTTTTTGTGTACACATTTTTTTTTGTACTCTATTGTACTTATACATCTTATAAATATTATTTTCTAGCAAAATAACTTATTTCAATAAAATTACGTATTCAAATAGAAATAAACCGAAGTACCAAATGTCAAAGTTAGTTCTATAATTGAAAACGTGATGCGGAAGTCATCTTTAAGGAGTTGTTTTTCACTAAACGTTTGTGTATAAATTTCTTAGAAACATGAAAAGCATATAGAAAGTCAATATAAAAAATACCTTTAAAATTTAAACTTTAAACTTTAAACTTAAAGCGTTTTTCATTTTTTTATACAAATGGTTGTGATTCTTGGATGTACTTTTTCGTTGTTAACTGTTGCTATTGATAAAAGTTTTATCTTTTGAAGTTTCGTATTTTCATTTCTATTATTAATTAAGTAGTTATTGCTACATTCTGGGGCAATTAATTCTTGTTAGGTTAAAATGAATTCCAGCAATAGAGTCGATGAAGAACGTAATTATTTTATTACTCAACTATTTCTATACATCATTTTAATCTTGTAGATGTTTGTACAATTCTTAGTCTAACTAAAGATCTTTGGGATTCTGATGAGAACACATGATACTTAATAAATTTTAGGTTTAAAAAAATAATGACTATTCCTCAGATTTTCTTTACTGAAATGGGTGGTTCGCATAGTGAATTTTTCGATTTAACAATTAGATGTGGAAATATTCAATCATGTTTCTTAAAAGTAGTTTATATTGGTTGCATTAATCAAAATCTCGATGTAGCAAGGTATGTTTAAGTATGCGACATAACCCACAAGCATTATGGCTATCCACTATATTTTTAATATGTATTGGGCGTGTTAAGTGTTACAAAAGACAAATGTAATCGTAGCTAAAGATGCGTAAAGAAACGTCGTGTCATTTGCAGTAGGTACAAAGGCTAATTTTCATTAAAAAAAAAAAAATGGAAGAGTTGCATCTACTTTTTAAAAACTGTATGACTTGGTGGCTTATAACGTTTTTCGTTACTCATAAATAAAAGTTACCCAAATATAGGTTTAAAAAAAAGAAAGAATAAAAAACAATTATAAATAGAATCCATATAGTTACTAAATACCTTTTTTCTCCTCACAGTTCTCTCACCATAGTTATTCTTACTAAGCAATACATAATCGTTATTATCCTTTCCGTTCTGTATCCTCGGTGTCCATAGTCACCTTCCTACATTACATAGCTTTCGCTAGCATCTACTGTTGTTTACATTATATGAAATTATGAAATACATATACTATAAACGATCTAGAAGAAATTACTATAGAAAACAAGCTCCCGCGCGGTCTTGCGCGGGTTCAATTCCTAGTGTGTATAATAATATTTGTGCCAAATTGAACTGAAGACAGTGCCGGTTCGGTTTTCTATAGTCAAATTTTCAATTACAATTTAGTTCATTTGGGTAAAGTTGGTTAAGTTTGATTTGGTACACAAATCAGAACTCCATTTCTGCAATTTGATTGAGCGTGCAACAAACTCTCTGTGGCAGTGTCCCTAAATTCCTCTTTCATTTTCTTCTCTGCAAATCGGAGGACTCTCGTCTCGTTAATTCCGGCGTCAATGTCGTCCCCTGAGAAGAAGAGTAAGAAGACGACGACGAAACCGTTAATTAAGCCATCGCCGTTGCTCCCACCGACGCCGCAACCGACCCCAAATCCGTATCTTCCCGATGATGTGCTACTGAGCTGCTTCGCACGAGTCTCGAGACTTTACTATCCGACTCTCTCCCTCGTCTCCAAGAGCTTCCGTTATCTTCTTGCTTCACCGGAGCTTTACCAGACTCGCTCTCAGTTAAACCGCAGGGAGAGCTGTCTCTACGTGTGTTTATCGCTCCCTCCTGACCCTAACCCTCGCTGGTTCACTCTCTGCCGGAGACCTTATCAAACCCCAACCAAGAAGAAGAAGCAAAGTAGCAACCTTTTGGTTCCAATCACATCTCCTCACTCTACTCCCGTTAGGCCTAGCTTCGTCGTCATCGGTTCTGAAATCTACGAAATCGGCGGACTCGTCAATGGCGCGGCTTCCTCTACCGTCTCGGTCTTTGATTGCAGGTCTCACTCTTGGCGCAAAGCTCCAAACATGCTTGTGGCTGCGGAGAAACCACAAGCCATGGCCATCGATGGAAATATATATGTTAATGGAGGCAAAGGAAGAGACTTGGTAGAGGTTTTTGATCCAAAAACCCAAACTTGGACTTGTGAATCTAAAGACTTTAGATCACTGGATGAGTATTTCGGAATAGCAGTGAATGGTTATTATGGAATGGCATCGCGGACGTCTTCTTGTTGCGTGATAGATAGCGTGTTGTATTCCTATCACCGGGGAGAGATCAAATGGTATGACAAAAAGGTAACTGACTGGAGAACCTTGAAGGGTTTAGGGATTAGGCTGCCTAAGTTTTTCTTTGGTCCGAATACTTCTAGTCTGGTTCACTTGGCAGATTATGGTGGAAAGATGGCGGTTTTATGGGACAGACATGATTATTCTAGCGACTGTAAAGGAAGAAAAGTTTGGTGTGCGGTGATCACGCTCGAAAGGCTTACTAGCGAAATGATTTGGGGCACGGTCGAGTGGTCTGATGACTCTGAAGCTGTGCTTGAAGTCGCTGGGCCTGTTGCATTCGTGGGTGTTCTTGCTGCTACTCTTTGATGAAAGATATGTGTTGAATATTGCACTCTTGTGGTTATTAGCTGTTTTTGTTTTTCATTTGTAAACCTCTACTCGTATTTTGAACTTTGTATTGTGCCAACGACTTCTAAAATGAACTATGAAACACTGTTTTGGTTGATTGTCATTGTTTACTGGATTCTTATGACAAAGAACAAACAAACAAATTGGACTTTCTTGAGTATTCCAATGAGTATTCCGTGTCTGTTGAACAAACAAATTGGAATTTCTTGATGATTCAAAAGAAAAAAGGAAGCGGTTTTGCTTTTATTTTGTGACAGAAAGTTTCTTGGTGATCTGGGTAAGAAGTTGCAGAGAACCGTGCTCTGAAATCTGCTTGAGTGGTTTCATTGATGCATATTAGGCTGCATGCTCTGTTTAAGATCTATACCAGGTATATTGTGTTCAGCTTGATAAATCTCTCATTTCTTGGAAGTGGCCTACTGGGAGTAGAAGTAGTGCTGAAGCTGAGTATCGTAGCATTCTTCATATTCAGGTCATTGTCCCAGCAAAGCTTTTCTGTGACCACAAACACCTTACACGATTTGTGTTCAGCTCAAGAAAGGAATGCAATATCTATGTGAAGACCGAGATTCAACAACATGTAGAATTGCTCAATACAGCTCTGCCGTCTTTACAGTTTCCCTCCATCTTGTCAAGGATGTTGATTTTGCAAGTTTTCATCAACCTTAGATGCTGAAAGACTTGGTTGTACAGTTAAACCAATTCCCGTTTGACTCAATTCAAATGATTAGATTGTGGTTAATATTGGCTCAGTGTGTTAAATGATGGGAATAGATGGAAACGATAGTATGTGTATGTATATATTATATACATACATCACCAAAGAAAAAGGCGATGGCCACTTGAGCCGGAATCGACATAGGTATCGGTAAGAAGAGATTAGCATTTTGGATCTTCGGTTACAAAAGAAAAGAGCTACTGTATGATGAAAGACAACGGAGATATATGTACTGAATCAATCAGCCGTGTGGGTTAAGTAATCATTATGGTTTCCACTCTGATAGGTTAAGTTGTTTTTTCTCTTGAAAACCTCTATTTATGACATTTAGAATTTTGTTGAGGTTTTGTGATGGTGAGCTTATTTTGTGCCAGCGACTACTAAAACTGAATTTTTTAGTTTTTTACACTGTCGTGGCTGAATAAATATCTCTATACTGAATTTTCGTATACAAAGGTTAATTTTAATAATATTTGTATGATCCATTCTCTTCTCTCTCTCTGACCTTTTTTTTTTTTTTTTTTTTTTTTTGAAAGTCTTCTCTCTCTCTGACCAAAACAGAGAAAAGAAGTGAAAATTCATTTTACAGTAAGATAAAGAGAAGCAGTAAGACACATTTATTTCTGCAGCTTACTCAATAAATCATTACGAGCACAAGTTTCTCTGCAAACTATTCACCGGATCACTAAAAAAATTCTTCTTCGTAAAGAAGACCAAAACCTTTTTTCTTGCTTTCTTACTGTAGTCCAGTTTGTTAGTTCAACAGCCGACAACACTCTTCAAGTATGTAGATTGTTATGGTTCTTTGTCCTAAGAAATATATTCAGGTTTAGAAGTTTGTATAGGTTTTCTCTTCTTGTATGTGATCAGGTTCTTGTTGTACCATTTTGATAAAGATTTTTCTGAAACAGGGGGATGATAGCAGAGACTTACATGCTGAAAAAGCTATCAAATCATAAATGGCAAGAAAAGGATTAGCATAAAATCCTTAGTTATTTGCATGATGAAGAAAATTGATCAAAACGAGTGGCGTACGATAATAATTTTTTTTTGTCCGGTTTGGTTTGCAACTTTAAAACCTCTGTGTATTCAATTTGATTTGGGAAAAATCTCGCCGAAAGTAGCTGTGCCAAATTGGTTAGATAATTTGGTACGGCTCATGTGTAAAATATTTGTGCCAAATTGGAACAAAGGACAATGCCGGTTCGGTTTCATGTAGTCAGATTTTTTATGTATCCAATGTGAGTTCATTTGGGTAAAGTTCGGTATGTTTGGTTTGGTATAGCACTTTATTTGTGCAATTTGATACACACACTCTGTGGCAGTGAAGTCAAACTCAAGTCAAAATCCCTAAATTTCCTCCCTGAATTTTCTTCTCTGCAAATCGGAGGACTCTCGTCTCGTTAATTCCAGCGTCAATGTCGTCCCCTGAGAAGAAGAGGAGGAAGACGACGACGACGACGAAGACTACGAATCCGTCACTTAAGGCATCACCTTTGCTCCCTCCGACGCCGCAATCGACCTCAAATCTGCCACTTCCGGATGATTTGCTTCTGAGCTGCTTCGCACGGGTCTCGCGACTGCACTACCCGACTCTCTCCCTCGTCTCCAAGAGCTTCCGTTCTCTGCTTGCTTCACCGGAGCTTTACCAGACTCACCTTTGCTCCCTCCGACGCCGCAATCGACCTCAAATCTGCCACTTCCGGATGATTTGCTTCTGAGCTGCTTCGCACGGGTCTCGCGACTGCACTACCCGACTCTCTCCCTCGTCTCCAAGAGCTTCCGTTCTCTGCTTGCTTCACCGGAGCTTTACCAGACTCGCTCCCATTTACACCGCACGGAGAGCTGCCTCTATGTCTGCTTATCGCTCCCGCCTGACCCTAACCCTCGCTGGTTCACTCTCTGCCGGAGACCTAATCAAACCCTATCCAAGAAGAAGAAGAAGCAAAGTAGGAACCTTTTGGTTCCTATAACATGTCCTCATTCTACTCCCATCAGGGCTAGTTTCGTCGTCATCGGTTCTGAAATATACGAAATGGGCGGACTCGTCAATGGCGTGGCTTCCTCTACCGTCTCGGTCTTTGATTGCAGGTCTCACTCTTGGCACCAAGCTCCAAACATGCTTCTGGCCAGGGAGAAACCACAAGCCATGGCCATCGATGGAAAGATATATGTTAGAGGTCTCAAGGGCTCGGTACAGGTTTTCGATCCAAAAACCCAAACTTGGACTTACGAATCGAGAGAATGGAAATCAGTGGATGAGTATCATGGAATAGTGGCGAATGGTCATTATGGAATTGTGGGATCGCGGAAACCTTCTTGTTGCGTGGTAGATAGCGTCTTGTATTCCTATTATAAGGGAAAGTTCATATGGTATGACAAAAAGGTAAGAGAGTGGAGAAGCTTGCAGGGTTTAGAGATTGGACTGCCTAAGTTTTTTTTGGCTCGACTACTTGTAGTCATATTCAGCTGGCGGATTATGGTGGAAAGATGGCGGTTTTATGGGACAGGATTGATCGTTCTAGCGACTGTAAAGGGAGAAAAGTTTGGTGTGCGGTGGTCACGCTTGAAAGGCAATCTAGTGAAGATATTTGGGGCACGGTCGAGTGGTGTGATGACTCTGAAGCTGTGCTTAAAGTCCCTGGACCTGTTGCATTTGTGGATGTTGTTGCTGCTACTCTTTGAAGTGTTGAACCAATCACTCTTCTGGGTAAAAGTAGGTATCGTTATGTTTTTCACTCTGATGGATGACTTTGTCTCGGGTTATTAGCTGTTTCTGTTTTTCTTTTGTAAATCTCTAGCTCCACTCGTATTTTGAACTTTGATGAGATTTTTAATGGTTAGCTTGTATTGTGCCACTGCCAACGACTTTCTAAAATGAATTATGAAACACTGTTTTGGTTGAATGTCATTGTTTACTGGATTCATAGGACATAGAACTATAACAATTGAGTATTTGATGATTCATTGATGCATATTAGGACTTTTTGAACAAACAAATTGGACTTTTTGATGATTCAAAAGAAAAAAAGAAGCGGTTTTGTTTTTCTTTTGTGACTGAAAAGTTTCTTGGTGATCTGGTAAAGAAGTTGCAGAGAAACGTGCTCTGAAATCTGCTCGAGTGGTTTCATTGATGCATATTAGGCGTCATGCTCATATTAGTACAGTATATTGTGTTCAGCTTGCGAAATCTCTCATTTCTTGGAAGTCAAAGAGCCTACCACATTGTTTTAAACGAAGTCTTCCATAAGCTTTCCAAACAAACACCTCACACGGTTTGTGTTCAGCTCAAGAAAGAAAATGCAATCTCTATGTGAAGACCGAGATTCAACATGTAGAATTGCTCAATACACCTCTGCAATCTTTACAGTTTCACTCCGTCTTGTCAAGGATGTTGATTTTGCAAGTTTTCATCAACCTGAAGATGCTGAAAGACTTGGTTACAGTTAATAGCTTTAATAGGACAAGAGGAAACTTTTTTCACCAAACCAACATGTTCTGCAATAGCTTTAATAGCTAAAAATATCTACGACGTTGCAGTGGTTGACTGGTAAATTGCGAACACAGACCCAAATTGGGACATATTGCAGCTAATCCACATCGAAGGTCCTTCCATTCGTCATGCACATGGACTATTTCCATAACTTACAATAAATCATGCTCATTTTTTGAAGATGGATTATAATCCATAAGTTATAATCGCTCTCTAGATAGATAGAGCCACACCACAAACTCTATCAACTTTTTGCCACTTCCTTGGCATATCCAAAATCAACCCAAACATCTTTTGCTTGTCCAGGTTTAAGAGCTCCTTATCAAACTTGTCACAAGAGTTGTATTCAAGTAGATTTGTCATGTCTATTTTTATACTCATTTGAACAACAATAAGATTTCAATCTACATAACTAATAAGGCTTGGACATCTCAAGCCTTGACACGTGGCACTTTTTTTTTTTCGTCTTACACCAAAACGACGTCGTTTTGCGCTTTATTTTTTTTTTTTCGTCTTACACCAAAACGACGTCGTTTTCGTATTAAAAAAAAAAAAAAATCTAAATCAAAATTATGTGTAATGCTGTTCGTTTTGATGGGCTTGATTATTTATCGGACCTCTTCGTTTCCATGGTAGCTTTAAATGGGCTTACTGGCTAATTAGCTCATTTCATTTCCTTTTAAAAAGGATTGCAATTATTATTATCTATGAGTCTGTAGGATAATAATCAATCTATAATGATTGTTAGTATAAGGAAAATTAGAAGAACTCAACTCCAGTCGATAAATTATTGTATAAAAGAACAAAAAACATATGAAACTATTCACTATGAGTCTATATAAGATTTCACGTAAATAACAACTAAATTTTAAAACTATATGAAAAAAAACAAAATGCAAAACTTACAGAATCTAATATATTCGAGTAAAAAACAAATGATATATTCGAATCTAATGTTCTGAATAATTAAATTCTCTCCTAGTTTATTGTAATTAAAATAACTCGTTTATTGTAATAACAATTTAGTGGGTTTCAGAAAGCCCTTTAAAAAAAATTGTATTTTTTTTCTTTTAATTATTCTTTTAATTAATGAAAATCCTTTATCAAATAAAATAATGTTGATTTTGTAATTTTTTTTAATATTGAAATATTGGAGTATATTAGATTAAATGTGCAGTTATGTATCTTATAAGCTTTTATATTGAAAAAGGAAAAGATCAATGAACCGACCCAACAAAAATAAAAGGAAACTTGGGAGTTGGGACACGGCCTTGTTCATTCATCCGTATAAATTAGGGCACAAAACGCCCCCAACGAGGCTGAATCAATTACAAGAATCAGCCGCAAGTTGAGAAATATTGGTGGAATGACGGTAACACGTATACGTCGTTCAAAAAACCGTTTTTCGGAAAGGCTAGAGGAGAAGAAGCAGTTGGCTCTTTTTGCGAAGGAGCAGGATTACTGGCGACGTGTGTGGGAGTCCGATGGGTTCGATATTGATCATATGGAGAAATCATACCGAATGCTAGTTTTCAAGCGCGAACCAGATGACTATCCTGTTTTGTGCAATAAACCCCTCCGGCCGAAGACTAGTGGTAGGTGGTCCCGCGTAGCTTTCGGAGAAGGGTAGCCTTGTGTGTAAGCACAGCAATGATCCACCTTTATGCTAAGGTTGGGCTTCATCGGTACAACATGCTGCATGGGACAAACCTCCAGCTTCATCACATAGAGAAGTACAATAGATTCTATAGAAAAATGCCCTCCTCGTATTTTATAACTTTGGTTGCAAAAGATCCCTCTACCGGCTCCCTTGTAACGTTTCAGACCAGCATTCAAGAATCATCATGTGAGTTTGATGTCAAGTGTTTTGTTGCTAGACCTAAAAGTAAAGAGACCAAGTGCACGCTTTGGCTTGATAATCATAGAGGCGCAGCACCTAACTTCCTAGGTTGTACAGCGCCTAAATGGCCGTCTGATGATGCTTTGGGTGATAAAAACCGGTTTTACGTGGTTGAGGAGTCAGAGTTGAAAGAGAATGAGTGGATTCGCCTCTATATGGAACTTGCATTTGTCACAACCAATCGGCTGACGTCTGATAAACATGACAAGCTGTCCGATTTGAGAATTGTGGAGGTAGTGGTGGAAACTAGGAAAATTGTAAATCCGCCGAATGAGAAGCTCAAGGGAGCCAAAAATGCACTTGTCTACATAGAATATGAGCAGGACTTGGGCGAGGGTCGGTTTTGTAAGTACAGAGCTAGAATTAGAAGAAGCGTGGATGTGAGAACCGGACGCCTTAGTCTCGTCGGCCAAAATGAGCAAACCTGCAGTATTTAAATCTCAATGCTGTATTTTGTTTTTCTGATTGGTTATTTGAATCTCAATAATAATTATTAGAAAACTATTTGCTAGATTGCATCTTATAAGCAAAAAAAAATTAAGTTTTGTACGTTTCAAGAACTTGACGCAAAACAAAAAAAAAGTGAAAAAAAAGAAAGCTTTTTTATTGAAATATTGATGGATTCTATTTGTTAACAAGAAAATAACTAAAAATGAGCTTCGAACCCAGCTTCATATTATAGGATAACGCAGGCCTGTTGGAACCTATTTAACTGCTGCACACAAACAAGAAAGAGAGAGAACACACACACAAGAGAGAGAGAGAGAACCCTAATTGTGCCAACATGCTGAGTCTTGTTCGATACGTTATCACGAAGGCAACGCGCGGAGGGAGATTGGTTGTGTCTCGCCGTGATTTCTCTTCGTCTTCCCATTGCGAAGGTTATACTTTTCTCTGATTTATGTTTACTTAAACCTTGTCTCCAAATCATTTTATACATCAACATTTTGTAGCAAAATAGCTTTAGCTTCACAAAGTAGCTAGCAACCAACACAAGTGAAGAAAGAAGAGTGTGTCTCAAATGACAATTACAAAATTACTTGTGACCTAAGAAAAAGAAAACACTTAAAAAAAAAACCCCTAAATCCAGATGACTCTAAACAACAATCTGAACAAATCATTTTACTATTCTTCGGATTCTTCATCATCTGGTGGCGTCGACTCCTTGAAAAAGCTTTTCCCACACTGGACAGACATATATTGACACACATCAGTTTCTTCATTTTCCATAAAAAGTAGTGAATTATAGAGAAACTTAACCGAAAATAAAAGAGATTGGTTTCATGACCGTACCTATTGCACTTGAAAACTAACATCGGAGGTGGATCAGGAATTAGGAGGAGAAGATTCGTTGCTTGCATTGTCCGCAGCTTTTCCCACTTGATTAGTTCTTGATGATGATGGACCAGCTTCGTTATTCACAACTTGATTAGTCCTTGATGACTGAGCAGCATTTTGATCAACAATTTCAGCCGAATCTTCGCTATCCACAGCTTCTTGTTCCACTTGATTAGCTCTTGGATCAGTAGCAAGATCTATGACATTTGAGGGATTAGGACGACGGCAGACTTCACATAGCCACATCGGAGGAACACTTTCTAACTTTACCCTCGCGCAATAACTGAAAACACACACACAAATCAAGATCGTTGCATTGAGTTGTTGTTGTTAAACAGTAAATAAAAGTAAACCAATATCGAGTTTCTTGTTTCTTACGTATGCTCTCTTGTTTCTTGGCACCTGAAGCATATCATTATCTCATGCGCATTGGCATTACTTCCGCATATCTCACAAGACTTCTTCGGCTACATAAATCATTTATGTAACAAATTAAATAAGAACAAGAAACACTACTTCCTCTGCTGAATTATTCAAGAATTGGCGTCAAATCTTGCTATTCGATGACTTTTCAAATTCCAACTGATCGAAGAACGCAAAAAAATTCTCACGATCAACAATTCCAAAGGCGTAAATCAAGAGAAGAGAAAGTAAATAATCGGAGAATGAAGATGCAATTTCTTTTCACCATCGGAGCCATAATCGGGTTTAGCTTTTTTACCTTACAATCGGAATGGCTTATCGCTGAAGAAGCAGCAGCAGAAGCTTCTGATCCACCGTCGTACCCACTTTCGCCGTCCATTGTTATCGATCGAAAGGGTCTTCAATGACGTTGACTGAAACGAGGTTTCGATGTGGAAGAGAAGGAGGGAAGAAGAAAATGATCGTTTTCTTGAAACGGAAGAAACAGCTTTATTTCTTTCTCTCTCTCTCAAGAGCGAAGAAAGACGAACTTCAACACTCCTCTCTTGTTGCTTATTTATATACGAAAGCCAAGTTGAAGTTTGTTCACCACTGACATAGAGGTTGATATATAAACAACACAACTATATATTTAGCACACATAAAATCTACAAGGAACTAGTTCTCTAATTCCGCATGAAGTCTATCAAATTGGCTAGGGAAAGTTGTTACTTTTCTTCAAATCTTGATTTTTTTTTTTGTCATAGGTACAGCTAGAATTAGGAGAAGCGTGGATGTGAGAACCGGACGCCTTAGTCTACTCTCGTTGGCGAAAATGAGAAAGTAATATCTGTAAAGAGAGATCAATACTATTTGGCTCAAGTCGAGTAACCCTGTATTTGAATCTCGATAATAATTATTAGAAAACTATTTGATAGATGGTATCTTGTAATCAATCTCAAATTCTGTTAACCATTTAAGTTTTAGGTTTTAGGTTATTCCATCGTATTTCGTAAAGCAACACAAATAAATTATGCTAGATTTCGTATTTAGCGAACCGTTGCCATTTAGATCATATAAGTCCCATACTAATCTTTATCACGTTTGTGATTTGATTTCCAAAACATTCATTTTGCTCTTTAATTATTTTCATGTAAACTGTAACTCCCTTGTTTAACTTTATCTTGACATGAAGGGTTATTGTTGTAAATTACCATTTTACCAACAAAATTCATGTTTTTCTCGTTTGTCTAAAGATAAGACTATCACGTTCGCAATTTAAGCGAGCCATTATCTCCAAGGTCAAAATCGTTCTCAGCGAGTTGGAGAGCCCTTGCCTCGTCAAATCCGCCGACAATGTCGTCCCCTGAGAAGAAGAAGAGAAACAAGACGACGACGAAGGAACTGTTGCTCCCACCAACCCCGGAATCGACCCCAAGTCTGTATCTTCCCGATGATTTGCTTCTGAGCTGCTTCGCACGGGTCTCGAGACTCGACTACCCGACTCTCCCCCTCGCCTCCAAGGGCTTCGGTTCTCTCATTTCTTCACCGGAGCTTTACCAGATTCGCTCCCAGTTAAACCGCACCGAGATCTGTCTCTACGTGTGCTTATCGCTCCCTCCTGATCCAAACCCTAAATGGTTTACTCTCTGCCGGAGACCTAAGCTAGGTAGCCCTCTCTTGGTTCCAGTCACATCTCCTCCTTCTACTCCTGTTGAGGCTAACTTCGTCGCTGTTGTTTCTGAGATCTATCAAATTGGCGGACGCATCAATGGCGTGCCGTCTTCTAACGTCTCGGTCTTGGACTGCCGGTCTGACGGTCTCACTCGTGGCGCCAGGCTCCAAACATGCGTGTGGCTAAGGACAACCGAGCAGCCATTGCCCTTAATGGAAAGATATATGTTAAAGCAGACCCATTTAAACGCAACTATGGACCTAAACTGGTAGAAGTTTACGATCCGAAAACCCTAACTTGGAAGTTTGTGATTCGTGGATCCGAAGAAATGATTTCAGTTTGTTATGCTGTAATCCATTGCCGTATTATGATTTTTGCGCTATAGATAAAGTGATGTATACGTGTGAAAAGGAAGGGTTCGTTTGGTTTGACAAGAAGGGAAAAGAGTGGAGAAGCGTGAAGGGTGTGAAAGGACTGCCTGAGTTTGATCGTTTCCGTAGTAATTTTCATTTGCTGGATTATGGTGGGAACTTGGCGGTTTTATGGGAGGATCATGGTCCTTCTGGGAACTCTCAGGAGAAGATGATTTGGTGTGCGGTGATTGCTATTGATCGTTCTAACCCTGAAGAGATTACAGGGACGTTGGAGTGGTTTGATGCTGTACTTGAAGTCCCAAACTCTTAGGCATTCGTTAGTGTTCTTGCTCCAACCGTTTGATGAAAAGACATGTGTTGAATCTTTCAATCGTGTGGGTTCGGTAAGTAAGTTATCATTATGTTTCTCAGTCTTTTGGATGATGACTTGTTGTCTCGTGTTATTTGTAAACCTCTTAAGCCGCATTTTGAACTTTGTTTGGATTTTTTATGGCTTCGTTAATAATCTCTGCTTGTGACTGCGAAAATGCATTTGAAACAGTGTTTTGGTTGAACTATCTTGTTTGATTTGATACTTAGGACAAGAAACATATACTTGATGAGTGTTTGGTTGTGTATTGCACTAACAAATTGGATTTCTTGATGATGAAAATGCAGTGTTTTTTATGTTCTCTCGAAAGAAGAAGAAGTAGTTTCTTAGTGATCATCTGAGTTGCATCATTTTGTTTTTCCCACTTGCTCATCTCTTTTCTACATAATCTTAGTATCCATGCAACTTTGTGCCACAACGGGTCAAAGAGACCAAGCCTTCACTATTTCTTCATTGATCCTAGGTTTATGAAGCATCCCTTATAAGATTCTTGGGAAGAATCCAACTGACCAACACCCATGTGTGATTCGAGCGCCTCTCTTTTCTAAAATTTTTTGATTGGATGCTGGAAACATCTTGAATCATTCCTTATTTTCAAATCACATGTCTAGCATAGATTGGATCCATAAATCATTTCCTAAACCTCCCAAGTAAAGCTATTTCCCAGAACTAGGCAGCTCCAACATACCACAATCAGAAAGCATATTAGGAAATGGCTTGAAGGAAGAGTCTGCTCTTCTTGGACCTCCAAGCTTCTCTGCATTAATTAGAGTCTCATTTAAGTCTTCACTATTTCTTCATTGATCTTAGGTTTAATAGTTAGGACAGTGTAGTGGTTGACTGGTAAATTGCGAATATAGACCCAAATAGGTACATATTGAATTTTATTCATCGGAGCTCTTTCCATTCGTCATACACATGGACCTTTTCCATAAGATACAACAAATCATGCTCATTTTTTGAAGATGGATAATAATTGCTCTCTAGATATAGCCACACCACAAACTCTATCAACCTTTTGCCACTTCCTTGGCATATCCAAAATCAACCCAAACATCTTTTGCTTGTCCAGGCTTAGGAGCTTCATATCCAACTTGTCACATAACTTTCACAAGAGTTGTATTCAAGAAGTTTTTTCATGTTAAAAGTCTCATCCTCTTCATCCAGGGACATGGCCACAATTAGAGCATGGTCCATAGCCGCCGGGCGCCGACATCTTCTCCAAACATATACTCCCTCCGTTCCTTAATATTTGATGTTTTATATTTTGTTGGTGTTCCTTATTTTTTGATGTTTTAGACTATTAAATGTACTTTTTTGATAATAAATATTTAAAAATGCAACTTCAAGAGAAATCTATAGTTTTGATTGGTTAGTAGTTATTTAAAATAAAAAAAGTAATACATCAAAAGTTAAGTATAATTGTTTCTTAATCTATGTGAAAACTCTAAAATATCAAATAATATGGAAAGTAGGGAGTAGATAAAAGTGAAGCACGTGAAACTGATATGCCCTAACCACAATAAATTCTTGCTGCAACTCTGATTCGAAACTCAAAGTCCAAAAACGGTAGATCTATAAAACGAGAATGATATTCTTTTTTGATAAAGAACGAGAACAATAATAATAGTATCTTCATATAGAACCCAAAACCCCTAATAAACTGTTCTATGATTTCGATGAAGTTTTACTAAGCTCTTGTAATCGACATTTTCGTTTTGGTAAGATGAAGTTTTGTGTTGGAAAACTAACAAAAGGGAGACCGAATAGTACACTTTGTCGCTCTCTTTTACGGTTGGTACCGTTTATGATTTCTCTTTCAATACATGTAACCAACTACATTAATAAAATAATACACACACACTGACACACAAGAAAATGAATCACGATAATGTGATACGATAGTCATATTTATGAATTTTTAGTTAAAGAGTTTGAGTTTTACTTTCTACAATTGGTTTTGGTGTTTTATTTTTTTACATTAGGTTTAAGCGCAAAATACGCTGACTTATACAAGAATAAGACTTGTTTGCCGATTACCTAGTCAGTTAGATCTATCAGATTTATCTGTTACAATTTCAGTCTTCGGTTATTTCACCATATTTGATATTTCGTCAAAAACACAAATAAATAATGCTAGATTCGGTATTAGAGATATTTTACCATGCCATTTAGATCCTAAGTCCCATTATAGTTTATAATCTTTATCACGTTTGTGATTTGATTTCCAAAACATTGATTTTGTTCTTTCATTCTTTTCATGCAAATAACTCTCTTGTTGTTGCCAAAAAAAAAAAATAAAAAAATAACTCTCTTGTTTATCTTATAAAAATGGGTTGATGTTGTAATTAACATTTTATTACCAACAAAAAGACAACAGATATCTTGCCTTTCTTGTTTGCCTAGAGATAACGATTATCACGTTTACCATTTGAGTGAGCCCCTGTCTCGTCAATTCCAGAGTCAAAATCCCTAAAATCTTTCGCCGCAACACGGAGAGCCCTAGTATCTCAATGTCGTCCCCTGAGAAGAGAAAGAAGAAGACGACGACGAAGGAACTGTTGCTCCCACCGACGCCGCAATCCACCCCAAATCTTCCCGATGATTTGCTTCTGAGCTGCTTCGCACGGGTCTCACGATTGTACTACCCGACTCTCTCCCTCGCCTCCAAGGGCTTCGGTTCTCTCATTGCTTCACCGGAGCTTTACAAGACTCGCTCCCGGTTACACCGCACGGAGATCTGTCTCTACGTGTGCTTATCGCTCCCTCATGACCCTAACCCTCGCTGGTTTACTCTCTGCCGGAGACCTAATCGAGCCCTAACCAAGGAAAAGAATCTAGGTATGAATCTCTTGGTTCCAATCGCATCTCCTCCTTCTACTCCTGTTAAGCCTTGTTTCGTCGCTGTTGGTTCTGAGATCTATCAAATTAGCGGACGCGTCAATGACGTGCCTTCTTGTGACGTCTCGGTTTTGGACTGCCGGTCTCACTCGTGGCACCAGGCTCCAAACATGAATGTGGTTATGCACAACCGATCCGCCATTGTCGTTGATGGAAAGATACATGTTAAAGGAGAGGAAGTTGAAGGCTTCGAGTCACCTATGGTAGAGGTTTACGATCCAAAAACCCTAACTTGGAAGTTTGAGTTGCATGGATCTGAAGAATCGTTTTTACGAGATGATTTTGCAGCGGGATTGCCGTTATATTGTTGTGTGATAGATGAAGTGATATATTATTTGTATGACAACGGAAGGATCTTTTGGTGTGACCTTAAGTCAAAAGAGTTGAGAATCTTGAAGGGCGTGACAGGACTGCCTGAGTTTAATCGTAGTGATCATGATGCTCGTTTGGTGGATTATGGTGGGAACTTGGCGGTTTTATGGGAGGATCATGGTCGTTCTAGCAACTCTGAGGAGAAGATGATTTGGTGTGCGGTGATTGCTGTTGATCGCTCTAACCGTGAAGAGTTTACAGGGACGGTGGAGTGGTTTGATCCTGTGCTTGAAGTCACAGAGTCTTGTTCATTCGTTCGTGTTCTTGCTGCTACCGTTTGATGAAAAGACATGTGTTGAATCAATCTCTCGTTTGGGTTCGGTAAGTAATTTATCATCATGTGTTTTCCGTCTGTTGTATGACTTGTTGTCTCGTGTTTTTTGTAAACCTCTTAAGTCGCATTTTGAACTTTGTTTGGATTTATGTTGGTTTAGCTTACATTATGCTTGTGACTCCGAAAATGCATTTGAAACAGTGTTTTGGTTGAACTATCTTGGTTTATTAGATTCTTAGGACAAGAAATATATACTTGATGACTGTTCCGTGCCTGCTGATCAAACAAATTGGACTTCTTAATATTAAAAGCAGTGTTTTTTTTTTTTTTTTTTTTTTCTGTTCTGTGTTGAGAAGAATAAGTTTCGTAGTGATCATGTGAGTCGCAGAAAGTATCATAGAGGAGAAGGCTTCTAGAGAAACATTTTCAAGCCAAATGCAACTTTAATTACGTACACTTATTTTAATACTTCGTGACTTCAATAACTGTAACCAAAAGAAACATAAACCAAATATCTGAATATCTTTGGAGAATCAGTCTAGGAAGAAACTACAAAGGATCTAGAATATCATAAATATTATTATCAAATATTTTATATTTATTATATTGAGATATTTACATATTTATGTCTCTCTAGTACATATAACTATGTAATGTGATCATTATTCTTCTCATGAGAGTACTTCTTCTATATCCTAAACTCTCATCATGATGTTGTGATCACTTCTAACAGAAACATCCTGAATAGTACTGCTTGTGGACATAAAATTAGCCAATGTCGTCCACAGTAATCCGCCACCAACGGTCAAGAGCCGTCGTCAAAGATGTAGCACGACACGAGTATTATGGAACCAATCTCGAATCTGCCACTTCTACATGGTTTATGGTTTTTGTAGTAACTTGCTTAGCCCGCATCTCAAAATTACGATATCGATTCATTGTGGTTGTCTTTTATCATAATCAGCTCAAGCAAGGATTTCTCTATGTGAAGATTGAGAATCAACAACATGTGCTCACCAAAATTTTGCAACCTTTACAATTTCACTCCCTCTTGTCCAAAATGTTGATTGCAACTCTATTTATCAACCTGCAACTCTATTTTATCAACCTGAAGAAGCTAAGAGCATGTGCATTGGAGAGTTTATGATGGGTTCTTTAGTAAAAAAAATAAGAAAAATAAAACATTTATCTTTGTGGCAAGTTCCAAGGCGAGAGACGTCTTTCGAGAAAGGTTATGGAAACGTCTCTCTGACACAAGTTGGCCACGTGTCACACCCTGATTGGGTTTTGTTTTGTTTTTGTTGGAAAATCGTTTTTTAGTAATTTTTTTTCTCGAAAAGCGATTTTATTATTTATTAAAAGAACATTTAAAGAGCCTTATACGATCTCTCCGATGCACCTGCTCTAAAAGGCTTGAGCGGTTGTATCACCAATTAAACCAATTCCGGGTTGACTCAATTGAATTGATTAGATTCTGGTTAATATTGGTTAGATGTCTATGTGAAGACTGAGAATCAATAAAATTTGCTCACTAAATTTTTGCAATCTTATAAGTTTTTCACTCCCTTTTGTCAAGAATGCTACTCCTTTTATCAATATGAAGATGCTAAAAAGGCTTGAGAGGTTGATTAAACCAATTGCGGTTTGTCTCAATTAGAATAACTAGATTCTGGTTAATACTGGTTTAAAAATCCCAAACAATGAAACAAAAGGCCCAAGACAAAATAGATAAAATTAAACCCAGGCCCAATACCCAGAGCGAGCAAGCGAGCGAGAGTCGCATAGTTGTGCATCGAAGAGAGAGAGAGGGAGCGAAAAAAAAAAAACGAACACGACGACAACAAACAAAAAATTTCGCCTGTGAGAGGGAAATAGAAATTGAAAGGAATTTTTTTTGCAATTTTTACGAGGTGAAATTCGTGAATTCCATCTAAATTCTTTCTCCAAGAAAAATTGTTGTCTTCTTCGATTTCGATACTGTTTGAGAAAAGAAATTGTTTCAAGCCCTAAGAGAGAGAGAGAGAAGCTAAATTTGATTTTGTGAAATTGCCCAAACTTTTTTTCTATGCCCTAATTCCTGCGTTTGCGTTTTCGTTTCCCTACGTCCCCAATTCAGGTAACTCTCTGCTCAATTCTCTTTCTTATGAACCCTAATTTGTGCTCTTTGGGGCTTTGTCTTCTCCTGCTCGCAAATTCCGAATAGAATGCTGAGAATTCGTGTCTGTGAATTTCTGATTCGTGTCTGTGAATTTCTGATTCTCTCTTAAAAAATGTGCTCACTTGATGTTGAGCTCCATTTTTGTTTGTAGCTTAGCTGAATCATTTCAAGTCTCGTTCCTGTTTATATTTACTACTGAGCTTCAAATTCGATGCTTGCTACTTCTATTTCTAGCTCTTTGAATGTGTTAAACGTATCTTTTAACTTCTGTGAATACTGAAACTTGTTATTGAGTTTGAGTTGTTGGGATTAGCTTCAGAGTGGTGATGCATGGAAGTGTGTGTTTCAGGTTATTTTCTAGTAAATGCCGAGGTTGATTCCATGGGAGGAGTTGTCGATAGTGGAGGAGGTATCGATAGTGGAGGAGGTATTGCTGTCAAATCATCTCCGCACCGAGCAGCGATTGAGAAGGCTCAAGCTGAGCTAAGGTATGTTGCAGATTTTTTGCTGCTTTGCCTTTGCCTTTGCATTACGTATTCGTTGGCTGCTGAAATTTTCTATTAGAGTGACGAAAATCACTTGTTTTAAACAGGCAGGAGTATGATGTTCGTGAGGAAAGGAGGAGAGAATTGGAGTTTCTGGAGAAGGTATGAGAACTTATTCCCCTTTTTAGTTTCCTTTGAGAGGACCTTTTTGTGACAAGTCTTTACTGTTTTCTCTGCTTTAGGGTGGGAATCCTTTGGATTTCAAGTTTGGTAATGCAACTTCACAGAGCGTCCAGTCTACATCGCTTACAGAGAAGCAAGCAGATCATTTTCAAAAGAGGTATTTTCTTTGTTGTTGTAGTTTTCCCTTTAGATCATGGATCAATTCTTGATTCTTTCACATTTTCATGTACAGTGAAGTCAAGGAGAGTCTTCCCCGGACAGCCTCGCAACATGGGGATTCAGTGGAGAGTAGTGGTCGACCTGGAGTTTCTATAGTTTCTGAACCCAATACAGCTGACAATCTTTTACTGTTTGATGCTCAAGATAAGTCACTTGAAGGAGAAAGAAATTCAAAGTATCCTAACAAGAGAAGCAGGACTTCAGAGTCAGAACGGTCTTTGAAAGCGAACAATCCCCGGAATACCAAGGAAACAGAAGATTCTGCGATTTTCCGCCCATATGCTCGTAGAAACAGATCAAAGGTAAACCGTGATCCAGCACGGTCAAGCTCTACGGAGGTAACTCAGAGTCGCAGAGAATCTGTGGATGTAAAGGTTTCCAGTTCCGAAGCAGGAAAGCATAAGAATAAGCATGCAGCTGCGGTACCTTCTCCAAGCTCTGCAACTTCCAACGGTAATATGAGTTTGAAAGATGAAGCCCCAAGCAACTTGTTGAAGACAGAGGAAGATGGACTGGTTGTACGAGAAAGCACTGCTACAACAAAAACAAGTCCAATGAAAGAAAAAGTAGATATCTCGTGTGGAAATAGTTCTGCAGATGTCGCTTCCAGAGAGACTGGTCTTACTGGGGTGAAAGCAGATGTTGTCTCTGCTACTACAGTAATAGATTCTCTCAGTGCTGTAGTGACAGGTAGCCAGGAAACTAACTCCACCCAGTTGAATGGCCTTGGCGATCACAGAGAAGAGAAAGAAAGCTCAAAAGATAGCGCAGCTGTAGGGAAAAAAGGGTTAGATCAAGAGTCCTCTCATGCTAACAACATTGAAGTAGATGTAGATACTAAAGTAGGTCTCCATAGAGAAGACGAATCTGACTCCAACAGAATGCATGTGCAGAGTGTTTCAAGAGAAGAGGGAATACTGAATCCGACAGTTACTGAAATGGCTAATGCAAAGAGTGAAGAAGAGGCTGGTGACTCTACCATCATTGTTAGGGAGCATAATTCTGGGACTCAAAGCCAAACGAAATCGCCCAAAGTCGAAAATCAAGATCTTACAACTACAGCTGAGCTGGATAATGAAAATAAATCTCCTGAAACGGAAATAAAAAAACAAGATGACTTGGAGACACTGCAAACTGGCACGAAAGTTACCAGTGAATTGGCTGAAACTTCCGATGGCTCTTTGTGCCCTCAAAAGTCTCAGGCAGCTGCAGAAACCAGTACCTGCACAGTTAGTGAAAACGTATTATCAGGACCTGGCATTACAGCTTTAAAACATCAGGATAGTTTAGACGGTGGGTCAGGAATGGTAGATACTTCGAAGGAGGACTCTATCCTTGAGGAGGCACGGATGATACAGGTTCGGCTTTTCAACTTGTCTTGGTGATCCTAACCTACCAAGCTCTGTAAGAATTTCTAGTTACTTTTTTCTTCATAGTCTCTTTCTGACATACTACACTAATAGGCAAAGAGACAGAGGATAGCCGAGTTTTCTTTTGGTACCGTACCAGTGGAGGTCCGTACGAGATCTCAATGGGACTTTGTCCTCGAAGAAATGGCATGGCTGGCAAATGATTTCGCACAGGTCTGGTTAATTTGATCTATCTGATCTGATTTTATATACTCAAATGGAAAAGTATGGATTTTATGGATTGTCATGCTTGTTATTACTAAATCATATGAAAATTCCTTTGTATTTGTTTTCAGCCTTTCTGTTACTGGAACATTTTTTCACTAAGTCGACAAATTACATTTTTTCTCACTTTTACTTCGCGAATTTTAGGAGCGTCTTTGGAAGATGACTGCTGCTATGCAGATTTGTCATCGAGCTGCTTTTACCTCTCAGTTGAAATTTGAGGAAAGAACTCAGCACAGAAAGCTGAAAAGCTTAGCTTCAACCTTAGCTAATGCTGTCTTGCAGTTCTGGAGTTCTGTGGAGGTTCCTAGGGAGCATGAAGAAACAAGCTTGGGAACTGAGGAGGTATATGAGTGCCACACATATCTATGTCTTGTTGTTTTTGATGGCAATGATGGTTATTCGGTTTATGGCTTTTCTTTTCTTTGGATTTCTTTATGTATATGTATGTTTAGTGTGGTTGAAGAATTAACACATTGTGAAGTACTGGAACCATATAAAAGAACTAAGTTTGTGACTGTACCGTAAGCTTGGCACACGATTCTATATATATTTCTGCCTCTATAGTATGACTGCAATGCTAGATCTCTCTGATTTTCTTGGAATAGTCTTCCATCTTGAAGTCTCAGAGCTTAATCTGGTTTTGTTGCTCTTTTCTTACACTTTTGATAATTCATCGTTGGTACATTGCCAACTAATTCTGTTACCATATGCAGGAAACAAGGAAGGAATTGAAGTGTGATAGCGGCAAAAAATGTTCATCTTCTGGTGTCAGAGAATATGCACGCAGATTTTTTAAATTCGTCAAATCTTCTACCCCCTATCTTCAAGCAGCAGCTCCGTCAACACCTGACAATATGTGCGACCCTGGCGTGTTGGAGACATCTTGGGATGATCGGCTTACAGAAGTATGATACTAGTTTTTCGTTGAGTACTAGTGTTGTGGATAGCACTATCACGTTAAAACTGAGCTTTTTGATCTGCAGGAAAGCTTATTTTATTCAGTTCAATCTGGAGCAATGGAGGCTTACCGAAGGTCCATTGAATCTCATCTAGTCTTGTCTGAGGTATGTGAGAATATCTAGTGCTACGAGCTCTCATGTCACAACCGTAACTGGCTGTATTACCTGAGAATACATAGATGAATTTTTGAATATACTTAACAGTATTATCCGTTCCAGAAATCTGGAAGTAGCATGCAGGAGGAAGTTGAAACATCAGCCTATGATCCCGCAGAAGGTATGCAGAATATATTTTATTGAGAGTTCACGTACTGGATAGACGTTTACTAATGTTCATTTTCAACTGTAGATACAGGATACAATGGTTACGACGAGGATGAAGAAGAAACGAGTACCTATTATTTGCCTGGAGCTCTTGAACGTAGCAGATCATTTAATTTAGCTCAAAAAAAGAAGAAGAAGTCGATGAAGTATCATTCTTCCCAGTCATATGATTTACCATACGGTAGCTACCCTGGTGTCTCCAACCCATTGATGGGCAAAAGGCCTGCCAGTAATCTCAATGTTGGTTCAGCTCCAATGAAGCGCATGCGCACTGCTTCCAGGCAGCGGATTGTCAGTCCTTTCGGCTGTGACACTGTTGGAAATTTACCTGTGCCCTCAAAGACAGATGCGTCTAGTGGGGACACTAGTTCTTTCCAGGATGAGCAAAGTAGTTTGAATGGTGGATCTGCGTTTCAAAAAGGCATTGAGGTTGAATCGAGTGGCAATTTTGAGAAGCAGCTACCTTATGACATGGCTGAAACATCAGGAAAACCGAAAAAGAAGAAGGTTCAGCTGGTTTGCATTATGTTTCAACACACATCTGGCTTGCTTTTCATGGAAAAATATATCTATTAATTCTGGCATTGCATGATATTATGTAATTTTCATTTGTTGCAGGGCTCTGCATATGAACAATCCTGGCATCATGATTCAATGTTCCATGGTGAACAGGTAATATTGCTGGTTAAAGATCTTAAATTCAGTGTCAACAAAATGTTTAATTGAAGCGCAGAAATTTGTTTAGCGGTGTGTAGTGTGTCGCATGTTCTATATCTTATGGTTGTTTGATGCCTGTGAGAGTAAGCTGCTCTTGGAATTGAAATACTTGGCTTCTCTTTCTTGTTTCCTTTCTTGATCTCGGAGTTGTAGTTATGAAAGTAATATAAGTTGAAATGGGAAGTTTTTTGCAAGTTTTGTATTATTGTGTAGGTAATTGTATACGGTAAAGAGATAACAGACTTCCTGGAAATAATCCTAATGCTTCCTTGTTTTCGCAGGAGCAGCGGAAGAAGCGACCGGAGAATCATTCCAATATAAATGGTACCATTCAGTTATCTGCTTTTAACTCTTTTTTCATGGCTACATGAGTTAGTTAAGTTCTTTAGCAGTCAGATTGTTATCTAATCCCTCTTTTAGTCATCATGCTCTTTTCAACGATTTGAGATCTCCGTGACAATTCTTGGCTGTATTTTGCAAGGTCTGTATGGTTCACACAAGAAGCAAAAGACTACGAAGCAATCAATGGATAATAATTTTGACAGTGCTGTTCCTGTTACTGGATCCATTCCTTCTCCAGCAGCTTCTCAGATGAGCAACGCCAACAAATTTATGAAATTTATTGGGGGTCGGGACAAGGTCAGAAAGACAAAGGGCTTGAAGGTATATGCTCTGATGAATTGTTCACTCCTTTACCATCTTGTTTGTTTTGAGATATTTCTTGAAACTGGAAACTTTTTTATGCAGATTTCTTCTGGCCAACAAGGATCTGAAAATGGATGGTCACTATTTGAAGAACAGGTTTTTATTTATTATCTCCGTTTGACATATAAGTAGTGTAGGTTGCGTTGTGAACATCTCTGACTTGTTTTTTCCACCATGTAGGCGCTTGTTGTCCTGGTCCATGACATGGGCCCTAACTGGGAGTTCATTAGTGATGCTTTGAAAAGTACTCTTAAAATTAAGGTAAGAGTGTACTGTTCCGAAGATTCTTGAGATGTGACAGTGCTGAACAATCTACTGAATAATGCTTGCTTCTATTTTTGTGAATGAGTATGCTTGATTTTGTTGTGCAAAACCCTTGCTGGCTTGATTTTAGTGAGCCATTTGGCTGGCAAATGTTGTTTCATTTATTCATTGTGCTGGAAATGTTGTTTGAGTACTATTATTTGATCCCTATTCTTAACTATACAGTGTATATATCGTAATCCAAGTGAGTGCAAGGAGCGGCATAAAATTCTAATGGATAGAACTGGTGGTGATGGGGCTGATAGTGCTGAAGACTCTGGAAATTCTCAATCTTATCCGTCCACTTTGCCTGGCATCCCAAAGGTTTTCATTTTTCCTGGGATACTGAAATAAAGTTTCTGAATGTGTTTACTTTAACCTGTGGTTTCCCTGAATTTTTTTACTATTCAGGGAAGTGCGAGACAGTTGTTTCAACGTTTGCAAGGGCCGGTGGAAGAAGACACACTCAAGTCCCATTTTGAGAAGATTTGTTCGATTGGGAAGAAGTTCCATCAAAGAAAGATACAGGTCCGTTCACCCACTGATTACCTTTTCAAAACTTATTACAGAAAGTTAGTGAATACCACCCCCGTGTTCTCTACTTGTAATTCAACCATTGCCTAATGACAATCGTAGTATATGCCAGTGTGTAAGTAGATAGTACGGTGGATGGCGTGGTTACATTATATATGTTTCTGGTACACTAAATTCAGTTTCCAAGTTTTTTCCATGGAGCTTTGTTTTGACTGTCTATTTTGGAATTCCGGCACACGTTCTATGAGAAAGGCATTCTTGCCTTTGCCATTTCTTTGTTTGCATAATTTATGCTGAGAAAGGCATATGCCGCATCACTTATCGTAATAAATGTCTGCATCTCTCAATACGTAAATGAAAATCTGGGCGCCAAAATAAGTAGGACCATGTACCAAAGTTTGAATATTAAAACTCTAAAAGCCATGATTTTGCTTGTCCTTGCTGATTCTGTATGTTTGCTGTTGTTTTCTCTATCTTCAAGAATGATCGGGATCCCAAGCAGATACTACCAGTTCACAATTCTCAAGTTATGGCTCTATCTCATGTATTCCCTAATAATCTGAGTGGAAGTGTCCTCACGTAAGTTTTGGTGTTTCTCAAGATTTATGTATATATCCTGGTAACTACCTTGTTCACAATTCTAATATCTCGCTACTCTCTGGATGAAGGCCCCTTGATCTCTGTGATGTCGCAACTTCAGGTCAAGATCTATTTTCACTTGAAAATACAGGTCTTCCGATGTTGAACCAAGGGACGCCAGCGCCTCCTGCATCTGAAGCAAATCCGTCATTAGCTGGATCATCTGGTGTAGCCCTTGGCAACAACTTGCCAACCACACCTGGCCCGACCAGTGCTTCCGCTAGGTAGAATTTATTTGTCTTGTTTTAATGAATACATTTGTGCATCTCAGCTCAAATCAAGGTTATTATTTTTCTTTCCGTAGCTGGCTAAATCCTTTCCTTTTCTTATATGGTAGATTCAATACTCCTAGAGGATCTTTGCCACTAGATGAACAACACCGAATCCAACAACATAATCAGGTGTTGTCCGGTAGAAACCTGCCGCAGCCTTCTTTAGCAACTCCTGGAGCTGTCTCAGGACCTGATCTTGCGCATCGCGTTGCCGGTGGAAATGCTATGAGTGTATCCGGAACCAATAGGAGCACACCGTTGTCAAGGCCTGGTTTTCAAGGAGCGAGCTCATTGGCAGTGCCAAGCACTGGGAGCATGCTTGCCTCTGGCATGGGAGGAATATCAAACAGTGGAAATATAAACTCTGTAGGAAACTCCACGTTGAGGCCTCGTGGATCTATGCAGCACATGATGCGGGTAAGCTAAATATTCTTCACCTATGATTTTTGCGATATGTCTTATGAATATATATCTTGCTGTTGTTTAAGTTGCCTACAGTACTCGTTAATGAATATATGATATGCCTGTTGTTCAAGTCTTAGTTGTTCAGCGCTTCTGATTTTTGTCATACAGTACTCGTTAATTGCCACTTTGAGCCTGTTTAATAAGTTTAATGAACAATTCATCTGATAATGATGAGTTTCAATTGCAGGCTGCCAAAGGGAATGCGCAGGGGATTCCAGCTTTGAGTTCTGGATTTACCAACCAAACAACTCCCCCCGTTCCGGCCTATCCAGGCCATCTTTCCCAGCAGCATCAGCTTTCGCAACCATCACATGTTCTTGGCAACTCACATAACCCTCATCTCCAGAGTCCTAATCTTGCACCTGGGGCACAGCAGCAAGCATTTGCTATCCGTCAAAAGCAAATGCACCAGCGCTATTTGCAGCAGCAGAAGAAGCAGCAGCAGCAGCAACAGTTTCCAGCATCTGGTGCTATGACACCAAATGTGCCATCACGACCTCAAGTTCCTCCCGTGTCTTCTTCTCCACAAAACACTGCTCAAACGCAACCACTTGCTTCGTCTCAGCCACCATTGATGCCTCTGTCTTCAACCTCTCCTAGTATGACAGCAATTCCGCAGCAGCAGCCTCAAAAATCGCAGTTTCCGGTTCATGGTCTGAGTAGGAATCCTCAATCTGGTGTAAACAATCAAGCTGTAAAACAGCGGCAGCGACAACTTCAGCAGCAATCTGGAAGACAACATCCAAACCAACGGCAAACAACTCAAGGTCCGCAGCAGAATAAACTCTTGAAGGGAGCGGGAAGAGGAAACATTATGCCTCAAAGCATCTCTGTTAATCCCTCGACCTTGAATGGTTCTACTATGTCACCGGGAATACAGGGTACTGAAAAAGTAGAGGCGACAGTTCAAGCTGTGCCTGGTCAGCCATCAACCGTCGTGAGCACACATTCACAGTCTAAACCGCTAAATCCTACTCAGTATTCAAGTACTTCCCAAGAGCAGTCAAAGACATCTCCTGGTTCTCCATCTCCTTCGTCCCAACGAAATCCACTGAGGCAATTAGAATCAGATAATAGCATACAAGGCGAGAAATCAGGAGTGGTACCAGGTAACAACATCTTGCCTACTTCTAGTCCGTCTGATACACCAGCAGTTGCAAAACCCAACCATCAACATTTGCTGCTACACCAGAAGCAGGGCAATCAAGTGCAACCAACATCTCATAGAACCGTTCATCCAAATCCTGACTTATCGAAGAAGTCTGAGGCTGAACATTCCCCACGCGACCCACAGTCTGTCATCAATACCACCCAGACAGCTAGTATGGGTACAACAAAAGATATGCCTCAAGCGAGTGATAATTCGATAAGCACAACTGCAGTTTGTTCTACTAATGTCAATTCTCCTCCAAAAGAAGTGAACTTACCATCAAGCGACTCCTCTGAGCATAATGGTTTTGCTAAAGTAAGCAGTTCTATCACAAATTCAACTGGGAGCGATCCAGTAACCGAAATAGCGCAAGGATTAGGCATTTCGTCCGATGGCTTAGCGGTTCATAACCATAAGAGTGAGACAGAGGGACAACAGCAACAGCAACAAGAATCTCCACCTCTAGCACAAAGGCAACCGCAGTTACCAGAACCGCTGCTTGTTCAAAATCGGAAACATATTCCTTCTGACCTGAAGCAGCAGCCTTATCTAAAGACGCTGGAATTAGAAGCAGTCCATGAAAATCCAACTCCCATGCCTCCTGACACAAAGGTGGAATGAGAACGAAAAGAGAGATGAACCTAGAAGCTCGAGCAGTTGTAGATCCTGCGAGGGCTATTGTTTGCCTAACCGACAACTCTGTACAGGTTCGGTCTAATATCTAACAATAACGGATAATCTTGCATTGATTGAGAGATACTAACTAAGACAAGTTTATGCTTAACTCTGCAGATGGAGTTTCCTAATTCAGAAAAGCCGCAGAGCAGATAATGAGAGAAAGTTCGGGATGACTCATGCTCTGGTCTTTTGCCTCGTTCTGCAACACAGTGAAGGTCATCTATAATTTAACTTTGCATCATAGAAGTAAACCATTCTCCTCCGTTTGGTTTTGGAAGAGCAGAAACAGTTGTAGAGAGGTTTAAGTTATGTACAGAGGTTTGCTCCACAGCCACTTTTTGCTTCCCCCATTTTGTGGTGTATATATATTAGGAGCTCTTTTTTTATTAAGCTTAGTAGATTTTGATCCACCATCACTCGTGGGTTTAGGTTAGCTTTGATGTAATGTCTGTACTTTTTTTTTACCTTCAAGTGCGAATTTGGAAAGCAGTAGAAAGAAATCATTTATCGTTGATGGAAAGTAACAAGATTGCAACATTTTTATGTCCAATATTGCAAAATGCTATTCCATATCCAAATTTACATTATTGGAGATATGTCCATATCCAAGGTTTACCCAAATAATTATGTGATTTCTATAAATAACTTGTAATGAATAGAAAACTATTGTAAAATGAAATAGTTTATGGAAATTGCATTCAACAACATTGGCGAATGCAAAAAAAATAGGCATATAATAACATATATGCAATAACGATTTCTGTACCTTTAATTATAGTTGCATTGTTTGTGAACTGAGTGAAAATCTTGAACTCACAAACATGGAATCGGCGGCGTATCAGAAGGTAAAAAGTTTATGATCCGAGGACAAGGAGTGCACTGAAGAGGATGAGCCAAAGAAGAGAAGAATCTCAATCCAAAAGCTTCTTCCAAGTTGACTTTATTATCTCCTTTGATATCCCAGTCAAAGCATTGCACCATCACTCCAACAGCGGTTCCTACTAAGATATAAGCTAAACTTGATCCAGGACAACCTCTCCTTCCACTTCCAAAAGGAAGATACTTGAGTGCTTGTTCTCTTCTCTCCTCCTCTTGCCTTGTTCTTGCACAAGTTAAAAACCTTTCTGGCTTAAACTCATTAGGATCTTCCCAAAAACCAGGATCTCTCATCAGAGCATAAGCGTTAATAACAAGTGATGTGCCCTTTGGTATGTAGAACCCTCCGATCGTACACCCTTTTTCAAATTCCCTTGACAAAACTGGCGCCACCGGGTGCAATCTTAGAGTCTCCTTCACGACCGCTTGCAAGTAAGGGAGTTTTGGTAAATCGGTTTCTTGAACAAACCTTGTTGTCCCTACCACCGAATCTATTTCTTCTCTCAACCTCTCAATGATCTTAGGGTTGTTGAGAACTTCTGCCATTGCCCACCTTGTTGTTGAAGAAGAGGTGTCACCAGCTCCAAAGAAAAGCTCCTGAATTTTTTATTTATTTAACAACATTTTCGATTCTTGAATGAAATATTAGGATATAGATGATATTTACCGCGAATAAGGCCTTGATATTTTTCCTGGTGATCTTATATTCAGCATTTTCGTCTCGATGAGCTGCCAACAATGTATCCATAAATTCAGTACCTTGATGGTCGTCCATTTTCGTTTCGTATCTCACAAGAATGTTTTCAAGAAGCTCCTCGAATCTTTCTGAAACCTTCATTATCTCCCATTTCAACAGTGTGATCCCAAGCTTCTCAAGCGGCTTATTGAATATTTGTGCCACAAAGAACAATGGGGACAACGCAGCTAACTTCACAGTGAACTCCGAGACTTTTTCACCGTCGTTGTCCTCCACTGAAAAACTACTTCCCATGCTCAACTTTCCGAGAGTGTTGTTAACGAGTCTCATCGCTTCTTCACCGAACTCGATGCTCTCTTCCTTTTTCGCTTTATCAAGAAGATTCTTGTGGAACCTCTCTAGCTCAACTTCACGAACGCCTAGTGACCGCTCCAGGGCCTGAGGTCCGATCCCTTTGGTAGTGATGATCTTCTTTACGACCTTCCAGTAACCTCCATAGGGAGCTCTGAGGAAGCCAAAAGAACCAAACACGACGCACTCATCGATGGCAACATCGCCACGAAAGGAGATGTACATGTCATGGGCCTTGAAGATTTCGTAGGCCATTGAGGCAGAGGAGACGAGAACGACGGGGACGTTAAAGATGTGAAGATGGAGGAAAGGTCCGTACTTGGATGAGATGTTGTGAAAACACTTGTGGATTGGAGCTGAGAGGAGAAGGTGAAGATGACCAATGATTGGAAGAGAGGGAGGGCTTGGAGGCAGATCAAAGCCATTCTTTGGTTTCTTGAAGAAGAAGATAAGGAGAAAGTAGCTTAAGAATAGGCAGAAGAGGGATAAGATGAAACAATTTTGAAAATCGAAGCTGACAATTGCTGCCATTTTTGTTCAAAAAGCAAGAAGGGGAGAAATGAAAACGGAGGATTTTTTGAATCCATTAATATAAGAAGGTGAAATAATGGAGATCCAAAAGTATATGATAGTGTATATCAGAAGTTGCTTGCATACTGGTGATAAGCCATTACTTGTGATGAAAATATAACACGTAATATTTGCGTAGTATTATGCATGATATTTTCATGATATTATGCTTGACGTAACTTCATAAACCATCATTCGCATGTTATTTGCATGATATTTTTTTTTTCAATCCGGCTACTATTATAATATGAACCATCGACGCCCGACTCTCTATGTACTGGCCAGCAGAATTGGAAACATTCGCTCTATCTCTGCTTTTTTTTTATTCCTTTAATTTCATTTTCTATTTTCAAAAAAATATCCAACACTCTTTTTCATTATTCGTAATATTTTTAAACGTAGAAAAAAAAAACAATTTGATTTGTTGAAAATTATTTATAGTACAAGACTTGATATCCGATCCGATCACTAAATAAGATATGTATGCGAAAAACAAATCTGGATCCAAAAACCAGATAATTACATTTTAAGAATATGATACTTGTATCTAATCCGGGATTCCGAATACGCTTTTATATGTTCAAGTGTTCTTAAAATATTTGTAAGATAATTATATGAAAATCCAAAAACTTCAAATATCACCTAATTAATTTAGTTATATAATATTTTCATGAATATCCATTAGTCCATAACACATTCTCTTAAAATATGTGAAAATGAATTTAATTTATTTAATATTTCACTTTCTATTTAATAATTCAAGTTAATTTTCGTATTTTAATAATTTTATGCTATTTTGGATGGCAATTAGCCATCAATGTTGGCGGATCCGGATTCGAATCTGGATACAGCCAAAAATCAAGTTTACCTCGGTACGTAGTACGTACCCATCTGGCCATCTCTAACAATAAATAAATGTTATCTTTCTTGCGGTTATATTTATATACGTCAGAAAATATTGTATCGTTCTCGCGCCACCGACATCGGTTTCTATGACATCGGAACAGTAACAGACAACTACATTGATACATAACATATTATTTAGACGATTCGTTCAAAATTCGATTAAATCCAATCCTTCCCAATCCTCTTTCTCTATGGATCTCTTCAAATCAGTCATGTCCGAATACGATCATCAACAAGAACAACAACAACCCGATTCACCAGAATCTCCTCTCGGCAATCCCACAACTCCTTCTTCTTCATCATGGAGCTTCGGAAATCTAATCAAAACCCTAGCGACAAAATCCGAGTCCGTAATCGGATCCTACCGTCGCGACTTCGAGGAATTCGGATCCGAATTGAAGAAAGAGACCTCCGTAATCCGACAAGTAGCTTCCCGCGCCGTCAAGGACTTACCCGACTCCCTCGAAATCGGCGCCTCCGTCGCTCAAGAGTCGCTCGAATCCGTCGGTCAAGCGATCGACGACATCGGCGCCACCGTTTGGAAATCAACGGCCAAGATCATTTCTCACGGTAAGGAATCTCTGTTATCCTCTTCTTCTTCCTCCTCCGATGTCGAATCATCCGGTGGCGATGATCGTAGAAACCAGAACTTATCTGCGAAACCATATAGCCGATTCGAGATGCAATTGCTTGCGATTCAGTCTGATAAAGGGACTTACGTTAGAGAACCAGATGATGATTCAGGGGATTTTGAGGATTGGGTTTTAGGGTTTAAGCTTGAGGAGAAAGAAAGTGAGATTGTTGGTTTGATAAATGGAAATAAGGCTGTGAAAGAGATTTATGAGGAGATAGTTCCTGTGATGGTTGATGCTGAGAGTTTCTGGAGGAGGTACTTTTATAAAGTGTGTAAGCTTGAGCAAGCAGAGGAAGCTAGGGTTAAGCTTGTGAAGAGAGCTATCTCTGGAGAAGAAGAAGAAGACTTGAGCTGGGATCTTGATGATGAAAGAGATGAAAATGAAGCTGAGAAAGGTAATGAGAGAAGTTCAGAGAAGGCAGAGAGGAGAGAAGTGTCGTCTCAGGAAAGTGATATCTCGGTGATATCGACGCAGCCGTCGTTACCAGAGGTGGAAGATCTTGGGTGGGATCAGATGGAAGAAGATATAAGAAGCAATGAAGAAGGTAGGAGTTTGGAAGGTGGTCAAGGGAGGGAGGAGAAGTCTGGTTGGCGAAGACGGGTTAGTGTAGCAGAGGAAGAAGAGGATTTGAATTGGGATATTGAAGAAGAAGATGATGATGACTCTGTTAAACAATAGAGACTTGTGTTATAGAAATGGCAAGATTTACAATCAAAGTGTGATCATGAGTCTGCTAAAACTCGAATCGTTCTGTGTTCAAGAATTGCCAAGTCAGGGTTAAGGAGATGAGTTGGTCTGCTAAAACTACAATCCGTTGTGTTGTTGAACAAGTAGAAATAGAACATATACGATTCTTCCTAAACGTTTATACTCGTATAATTTGTATAATACTCTGGTGAATACAAACGAATTTGTATAATACTCTATAGATATGTCACTGTTTAAAACACAAAAACAGGTTCTTCTAGGAATAAGTTAGCATTACGTGAATCTTCGGTGAATGCATTATAATTTATGAGCCATTTGTTTTGGTTGGCTGAGTATCTACATTTCGAGCAACAAGAAGAGATAGATAGATACATTTTGGTGGAGTAGTGACGAAGGAACAAAGCCGTGGATGCAGCCACCGCAGCCGGGAAGATTGACCGTATTCCCTACAAAAACACTGCAACCAAAAGTTCAAACTTTTGTGTGAAATTTCTTCAAAACTATTTCTTCCAATATTCCATATTTTTTATGGGTTAGAAAAATAGAAAACTAACAAATAATTATGAAGCAGCTGATAAGTATTAAAAATATTGTATTGTAGTTTTTTTAATAGTAGATGTTTTCTACGGGTTATAAAAATATTAAACTTTTCAATCCTAATTTTCCAATTTGCTAATTAGATAAAACAATTTGTGTAACAGTCTTTCGCTTGATAGTTAACACATGGTCGAACCTGAGCCAATTCAAACAATTCTTAAAAATGGAACCGCCACAATTTTTGTTTTTTGAAAATTTTGAGAATTTATTCATTATTATTTCATATTTTTTTTTATAGATCTATATTTTTGTGGGCGTTGCCACTCCAGGTCGTCCATTTAGCTTAATCCGGTCCTTAGTTTCCAAAGTATGGGACTGGAGGAAGTCTATGAAGACCAAGCGTATGTTGCAGAGGACAATCTCCAAGTTCCACAATCATAATTGTCATGTTCATTATCATTCAAAGCACACAAGCCGGCAATTTGAAAAGAAAAAAAATTAAAATCTTTCCACTACATCCAATTTTCATAGTACTAAACAGTAACCAACAGGTGGTTGACAACTCGTCATCAACAACTCACGTCCAAAATCTGTGCACGGTTTTCTTGGTCTCAGACATTTTTTTTTTCCAAAATCCAATCTTTTTCTAAGTCATAGCTTTTAAAATCTCAAGTTCCTTAGTTAGTGTACAGCTCTTCCCTCTGTCCTATCAATATATTACATGGAATACCCACAAGTTCTGGTTTTATTATGGTCAATTAGGTTTCCAAAAATTTGAAGGGTTATCCTTGTGACAAATTAACACGACACAAGCATTGATCTTATATGGCTACAAATCACATCCTTGCACCAATTGTTATTCACAATCCTAATGGGAAGATTTTGTGAATAATAAATTGGTGCAAGGATGTCATTTTTAGCCATGTAAGATCAATGTGTGTGTCCATGTGGAGAAGGTATGACTGGTGGACTACCTATTGATATGTTCACAATGTTCACCAAGAAAACGATGGGATGTTGGAGGAAAGATGTGCAATAATATCTCTAGAATTCATTGTCGAGATATTTGATCAGATTGACAAAGTTGGATGATGCTAAGAACCAAGAAAGTTATGTTTCTTTTAAGTTTTACCAGTAAACCCATGAGACTGTAGACATTATATAAGGAGCATTCCGAGCACAATATACAATACTTATATAATGTGGCTGTGCCGGAGCGGGAGCTGAATTCACACAAAATTTTGCTCCGAGTCACATCCACTTCAGGGCATCTGTTTTGTGATCAAATAATATCCCTTGAGACAGAAACAGAGGTTTTGTTAGATCTGAGGAAACCACATCAGCTTGAGCAGAACCAAACGGTGTTGCCTTTGGTCTTATTAAGGCAAATCCAACAATCTCTGTCGTTCTATCTGAGCATTCATCTTCTTCTTCCCCAAACCCAGATTCCTAAGCCAACTCCAACGACTTGTATGTCACTGCTTTTCATGCTTTCATCTTGAGAGACCTTAAAACCATCTTCTGCTTCATAGTCTCCACCTGTGTAGTGGTTTCTACTGCCTCCAGTTTCGTAGCAGTCCACTTCGCTGCTGCTACTACTACTACTACTACTCTCGCCTTCTTCCTTCAAGATCTGTACACCGCACTCAATAATCTTGTCATCGTTTCCCCTGAAGCTGCATTCAAACAGAATCTCACTCATACTCACATCCAGTTCATGGCATTTGTCTGTCTGAAACAAGTCCCCACAAAATATTAACAAATGTTCCGTCAGAAACTGAGGAGAGAGTCCTGAAATCCAATACTCAACTTCGTTTAGGATGAGACCTTCTTTGTTTCTTAGATGACAAGTCACATCAAAAAGTGGATAGCCCTTAACTGGCGAAAGCAGAAGACAAGCCTTGAATCTTGAGGATGCTGAGAAAAAAGCTCCCTCACCATCCAGACCCATAGGGATGGTTATGGAGTTTCCTGTAACTCTGTGAGTGAAGTCCATAGGGACTTCTTTACCAGGCAAGCATACATAATTGTAATCCCATTGTTGTATGATTCTCCTCCGTGCTTCTTCATCCAGTTGCACACAGTTGCGGTAGTTGAGACTTGCACACGGATCATGGAAAGTGTGGAACACGGTTTTGAGTGCTCTACAATCAGTTGCATCGAGACACCAAAGCGAAGGGGGAAGACCTTGCAGTGACACGAGTCTTCTACAGTTCTGGATGACAAGACTTTGTAGCCAAGGAAGGCCAATGACACAATCTGGAATCGTCTTTATATCACTGTTTCTTAGGTCAAGCTTCTTTATACTTTCCGGGACATAACTTAATCTCTTGAGGTTTCTGATGCCTATATGAAGCCATGTAAAGACGAACCCACAACACAGAGACCCAACCCAATGGAAGATTACCGCAGAGCTCTGCTACTTTGTTTGCAAGCTCTCTAAAACCATCGCGTGGAGAGCTTTGTTTGAAAGCAGATAAACATAAGATCTCCAGAGCCTCTTCCTCGGACGGAAAATCCACGTGATAGATATCTTCTATCCCATGTGCCTTCAAGATCTCTTTATCTTTCGTGGTAACAATGATCCGACTTCCAGAACCAAACCAACAGGGGTCTTTCGCCAAGGTCTCTAGCTGCTCTAGATCATCAACATCGTCAAGAACTATGAGCACTCTTTGGTCATGTAACCATTCTTTTACTGCACCTAAATGATGTATCCTAATATCCTTTTGGTTCAAAATATTGGACAGGAGGTGGTTCTGTAACGACAACTTTGAATCGTAGTCATCAATACCAATGCTGCTATGACTTCCCTTGAGGTTCCCCATAAAAAAACTGAGTGGGAAATCGGCAGAGAGCTGGTCGAATAGAGCTCTAGCAATGGTTGTCTTGCCGATTCCAGCAGGACCATGGATTCCAATCATCTGTGCTTGGCGAAAACAAGATTTTGCTTTTCTCAAGTGACCTTTTATTCCCACCATCCTGTCAAAATCCTTTGAAGGTGTGACATTCAGTTTGTTTGAAACATCTGCAGCAATTTTCTTGATCATCTCAGCCTCATTATCCCTGTAAAAGAAACAAATTCTTGTTGGTGGAATTCAAAAATCTAATACCATATCAAACTAATGGTAAAGTACTATTGAAGCATTGGTTAATCTAAACTAATGAGTTAAAAAAACTATATACCAATTCAGAGAATGTTCTCCTTTTATGTTTGCAACATCAATCAAAGCTTTGCTCCATGTCAGCTTCATCTCGTCAGTTTTCCCTTTACAAGTTTTCTTGAAAGCGTTTCCGAAATGTCCCTCCTGTTTCCGTATGTGAGATGGGTCAACATCGTAAAAAATTGTCATGACAATCTGCCCCAAAGCATCTTTGCACTTCAAGATCTCAACCAACTCATCCAAACACCAGCTTGAAGAAGCGTAATTCTCCGAGAGCATAACGATCGAGACTCGAGATTCTCTAATCGCTTTTATGAGTTCAGGTCCAATCGTGTTGCCACTCTCCATCTTCTGATCCTTGAACGTTGTGATTCCTTTGCGTGCAAATTCATTGTGTAAATGACTTAGAAATCCCCTGCGGACATCTGGCCCGTGGAAGCTCGGAAAGACATGGTACCTCCTTATCTGAGACGAAGAAGATGATGCAAAAGCATCCATGAGAGACCAAAAGGGTAATAATAAAGTCAAGACTGTATCAGAGAGTGTTGTATAACTAATGCAAAGACATAAAAGTCTAAATAGAGGACAAACTCCAAAGAGATGTGAAGTCTAATTGATATAATGATAAGCACTGAATAGAAAATTTCCTCATAGCTGTCTCATTGACAGTGGCCTTTTTAGAATCAACTGACTTGGTTTTATCTTTTGATTTATTTAGTAAAACAAATAATATAATCAGAATTGCCTGCTTATTTTATTTGTTTCTAATGACAATTGCACCAATATTCTTATTGGCTAAATAAGCATCCTAACTATCAAAAGAAAGGTTAAAATATACTAGAGGATGCAGAGAAAGAAAGCTCACCAGCCACGGTTATGTAAATGAAATAGATATGCGCACCACCGGTAGTATGGTTAGTCTTCTTGCTTCTGGACAGTAACATAACCATAGAGTCTCAGCATTTGTTCAAAGTTGCTAGCATTTAGGGTGAACAGGGGAGATCCAAGAGTGAATCAGAGTTAGTAGAGTCTGTTCAGACAAGGGAGACTATGCAACAATCTAGATTGCTCTCTAGCTATACCGTTGTTGCTTAGGTCTAGATCCTTTAAACTTCTTCACTCCTATGTTCACAACTGCTATAAGTCCAGTGACAAGGCAGACTCTGTCTTCTTCTTCAACTCCCAAGGATTTCTAAGCCAAATCCAACAAGCTTCTGCTTCATAGTCTCTATCTCTATTGGGGTAGCTGCTACTACTCGTATGGAGCTAGATTCCACCACAAAGCTTCTTCCTCTTAAGTCCGAGATAATTGATTTTGGTAACTTTTGAGCAAGTCCAAATTCATCTCTCAAGTTACCAAAATTAATTATCTCTGGTTCAACATGCGGTATAGAGGTAATTGCCAAAACTTCAAAAAACACAACAGTTTGTTCAAGAAATAGTTTGGCTTTAATTGACTCTTAGAATATATTACTACAATATGATTTGTTCTGGTTGCATATTTGATAAGATCTTACATCAATCTATACATGTATCTAATATTTTTGACTAACAAGAAGAGACTCAGTCCTAGCTGGAGTAGCGACGGCGAATGTAGAGGAACAAAGCCGTGGATGCAGCCACCATATACGGGAAGATAGTCCATATTCCCTGCACAGAGATAGGAACCAAAAACTTGTGTCAAAGACTCTATTCACAATCATTTTTGTCTCTCACTCTCTCTCGGTCTACTTACCATTGCAGTTGCAACTGTTGCAACAGCAAACATGGGTCGTTCTCGAAGGAGAAACCCGATCACAAGCTGTAACATTTGATCGAATTAGGAAACTCTAGTTAAAACTGTACCGTACTGAGTGTAAAGAAAAGCAGATTATTAAAAACCTGAAGTGGAAGAGTAATCAAGCCACCACAACAAACTCCTCCAAAGAAACACTCTGGAGATACTCCCTGTAAAGGTTCATAAATATAGTTTTGAGTTAACCATTTGCTACCATATTCTGGAATCAAGTCCGAGACACACTTACAAGAGCCCCAGCTAAAAATGCTGTAGGATTCCTCATCCCCAAAGAAAATCTTTCCACTGCATCAAATGTTTCACATAACCAAACATTAGCCAAGAAATAATATAAAGTCATTTCATAACATTGTAGAAAATCTTTCCACTGCATTCAAATTGTTTAACTTACCAAAACCCGACATGTTTCCATACTTCTCCACAGCCTGCGTAATGCTCAGCACTTTCTCTTTACCTATACCTAGCTTTAGGTAACAAATACGCAAATGTAGAGAAGAATCAGCTTTTGGGATTCCCATTTCAACTGGCAAATAACAAGAACTTAATTCACCTAAGGGAAGTAAACCTTTGAACAAACATCATCTGATGCTCCACTTTGTCTGAAGAGCTTCCCAAGGTAAAACGGTATCATATCGCTTATACAAACTCCCCTGTTTTGGTTTTGTATAAGAACCATGGAAGTTATGTTTGTTTTAACTAAAAGATATTGCTTTTACTGTTTTACCAGTAAACCCATGAGACTGTAGACATTATATAAGGAGCATTCCGAGAGAAAGACTCAGCAAAAGACTGCCACGTCCCATCAAACGTTAACATTCTAGCCAATGTTATCCCAACCTACATTTCACATTTACATAAAAAAATGTCATCAAAAGGAAGTTTGAATTAAGAACCATTTTCAAGAAGCCAGAATCCAAAAAAGAAGTACCGGTATAGACCACAGACCCATATATTCAAAGCCTCTTCGCTAATAAAAAGCCCGAACCCAGCAGCCATAAGCAACCAAAAGTAAACCCATCTGCAACAAAGAAACATAATCTTGTGCATAAGGAAGATTAATTACTACGAGTAATGTTATGGCTAGTTAACTGTTTTACATTACCCCGGTGCGTTTCCTGGAATTACGAATGTGTTTCCAAAGGCATTGAAAGTGAAACCTACTGAAGAGGAAGAAGCTTTGGCTAGACTCTTGACCTCAAAAGATGAACCACCAGAGCTTTTGAAAGTTAAACATATTAGTGTAATAGTCAGAGCCAATCCTAAACCCACACCTAACTTTGCTATGAATGGGACTTTCTTCTTTTCAGAAACTATTGTGTTTTCGTTCTTAAGTATCTCATCGACATTTGGTTTCTCATCTTCACTATCTTGAGACTTTTCGGAGTCATTGTTACTGACATTTTCTCTCTGAAAGCTTCTCACTTTGAACCTGCCACAGTATAAGCGATTTAAGCATAAACTGATTCCAGTCAAATTGGGATCTAAATCGACACAAAAACTTGATATGCAATAGGAAAATGTTTAAACTATTCATTTCCTATTCAAAAATCCAAATTTTCTTTTCGGGGAAGATCAAATTCCTGCAAAAGAGTTGCCTAAATTTCACAATCAGAACATATCTAATCTGTTTCTATGGGAGAAGTGATTATGACGAACTTTAAAACCTGTAGAAAGAAGTATTGAAGAGACGTGACAACGAGAAGCTTTTTTCTGCAGGAGCAGACAAAGCTCTGTTCCTCAAGACAGCAACAAGTTTGGGTCTCGGAAGTTTTAAGGAAAACCCACTAACCGGAATCGCCATGGAAGACAGCATTTGTTTTGTGTGGACTTTACGATTTTGGTTCTAATTCAGAGTGGAGAAGAAGAGAAGGAAACAAGGTGTGAAGTTTTGGTTTATAATTGGGTAAGTTTGAGTGGTGATCGGCAACTCTGAAGATACGCATATTCGCTCTCTCTACCAGAAGTTTCAGTACAAAAAATATTGCTGTAATAAATAAATAAATATAATGTGTCGGAAAGTTGTAATTTTTCACATTTTTATTCTCTCTTTTACTACATCTTCTCGCTCTCGTATTCTCTCATCTTATAATCCTTAAACATTGTTACCATCTAGGATAAGTAGTTTCATAGAAAAAAAAAAAGGAAAATGTGAAAAATGAGAATTTGGGTATTTTACAATCAACTAAAACTCTTTTATGTAAAACACTCTTTTGTATTTCTTGGCATTCTTGCCTTAGTTGTTTTTTGGTTTGTTACGAATATAATTTGTTTTTCTTAATTGAAATATGCAGCAATGTACAGAAGTACTACTTGACAAATTTGGTGAAGTTAGTAAAACACCTTAAAACAACAACACAATTCTATTCGACTCAATATTGTTTAGGCAACTAACTATCTTCTCAACTACACACGTATTTCTTTGGTCACGTGGATCTGTCCTTTTTGATCATCTGGAGAACTTGTAAAAGCAAAGCGACAAGTCACAAATATATTAATTACCTCTTTTTATGCCGACTCTTTTTTATTTTTCATTTTATTTATTTATTTTTATAAATTAAGAAAAGAAAAAACCACAACGAAGATTCTCTGTCCGAAGAAACAAGCCGGAGCTCTTCTTCCTCTTTCTGTCTTTCTCCTTCCTCTGACTCTTTCACTTTCAGGTACTTCGCTCTGACCTCAGCTTCATCTTTATCCTCTTTTCTTCTTTATTCCACCTTTCTTGTTTTGCTTTCTTTATCTTCTTGATTTTTCTTCTGAACTACGCAATTAAATTTTCATTGAGGGTCTTGTCTAAGCTTCTGTTTCTTTCTTTCCCAATTTTGTTTAGGGTGTTTTATATATTTTACAATCTTCATTTCCCAGATCAAAAGTTGGTTTTCTTGTCTACACAATTACTTTTCTTTATTATGATTACTGATTTCTTGGTTAATTATTGTCTGAAACTTATGAATTTCTGTCCGGCTGAACAAATATTGAGTACGAGTTCTTGAAATCAGGGAAAACTATAGTTTTCCAGATTCAAAGGATATTGATTTTTTTTTCAGAAAAAAAGATTAGAGAAACTAAACCGTTCTTGAAAATCTTGATTCTAGTATATACAAAGCTAACACTCCTTTCTCTGTTTTGTATGGTTTTAGGTTCATCAGATTTACTTCAATTTCACAAGCTGAGATTCCACATTCAGGCAAGATCTGGCTATTGACTGAGAGAAGAAAATGGACTACCCTGAATGTGATAGATTAACATTTTGTGGAGTTTTAGTTGGTTTTCTGGAATTAGCATTTGCTTATTGTCTTCTATGTGTATCAGCTTTCGTCTTCATTGCATCCAAGTTCTTAGTCTATATGCCTTGTCCCTGTTCTGGAATTTTTGTGTACCAAAACAATGAGCTCTGCATCCAGAAGTTTCTCTTCGATTGGCCATTTGAGATCATACTCAGAATCCAGACGATGGCAATCACCACTAGACCAAGAGTTTGGCATCATCAAGAACAAGAAGAGAGGAAGAATTCGGTTGGTAAAGATCAGAACTTGGAACTGATGATGAACAAGGTGAGATTGCTTGAAGAAGCTGTTGAGGAAGGGAGATTAGCTCGAGCCTCTTTAGTGGTGGAATTGGAGGAAGAAAGAGCAGCTTCGAGATCAGCAGCTGATGAAGCCATGGCTATGATTCTGAGGCTACAAGCTGATAAAGCTTCGCTTGAAATGGAAGGGAAGCAATACGAGAGAATGATTGAGGAGAAGTTTGCTTATGATGAGGAAGAGATGAATGTTCTCAAGGAGATTCTTTTCAAAAGGGAGCGAGAGAAGCATTTTCTTGAGAAGGAACTTGAGACTTACAAGCACATTGATGATGATGATGATGGTGATGATCTTGAGATGGAAGATAGAGAACCGATTGTGCATGATGTTCATGTCATTGAGGATGACAATAATACTAAGATGGAGGATGATGATGATGCAGCGGATAAAGAGAGGGAAAGTGGTGATCAGTTTCAGATGAAGCAAATGGAAGATATAGGAAAGGATCATGATAATTCATCAGTATCATCACCTTCTTCAGCTTCTCTACATCTCTCATAAGTTTCTTGTTCCGGTTATAAAGTCTTTGCCTTTTCTTGTTGACTGTGTTTTGGACATTGTGTTTTTTGTGTAGATTTTGGTTTAACGTGTGAATATCAATGTAGAAGTTTGTGACGTCTATACGCATAAAATGAACATATCAACAATAATGTTAAGATGTATATGCTTGACAGTTTCAGTGGCATAATCAAAATCAAGACTAGCATCCGAGATTCTCTTCTGAGACTTTCTCTGCCTTGATTCTGAGCTTGTTGACTGACCTTTTCTTTCTCTTTGTACGGTAACAAGATCAAACAAAGAGGCAAACAGAGGATAAATCATGATTACATCTATAAAAGCACAAAACGGTATACAAACACTTAGAAAATACTATAGTAAAAACCTTTTCAATAATTATATAAAATTGAGATATATCAGTCCACACAAAGGGAAGGTGTTGCATGTTCTTGGTTATGAACGTGAAGAGTTTTCATGGGGAAACGGAAAATTTATATGTTTGAAAATTTGTTATATAACCTAAACACATTACTAAGCAAGAAATTTCAGCTCCACCTTCTCACTTTATTAAAGTTTGTACGGTAAGAAGATCAAACAAATAAGCAAACCGAGCATAAATGACACATATATGATTCATTAACACTTCTTAGAAGTATTCACTAACACACATGGAAAATATATTGAGGTGCCGACTAAATTAATTATTAGTATCACCAATATAATTTTGTTGAAATACCTGAATCATTGATTGAGAGTTTCATTTTTTCTCGGGACTGAAAAGTTAAGCCCGGGGAAAAAAAGGAAAGAACAAAAAAGTACTGTTGTGGTAACAATATGTATGCTAATGCCAAGCCATTAGCATCATTAGGAGGTGAAATAATTCTCCTTATACAGTCGATAAAACATCATTACAACTAGTACTACATATGAGAACATTCAATCGTTCAATACTTTAAAGTTCTTTAGCCATTTCAATAATCTTCAGAACGTCTCATTTACGACCAATGCATCTATTTTGAACAACAGACATATTTTTATCAACAACCTTTTCAAATCTCCCATCCTTGACCAATTTAATCATACAAACATTCATGACTTTCCACTAAATGATATGAGTTTATCAAAAAAGATTTGTTGTGATACTCGTCTAGTCAAAAGAACAAACATAAACGCTCCAAAATTGTACAGATCAAGAGCAAACATATTTTTGTCTTTGTTGACAGATCGAGAAACTTGACTCATCAATTCTTGAAGGAATTGAAACAATGAAGAGTAACAAAGTGAAATAGCTTCTCTCAAAATTTTGGGAAATGGAGGATATCGATGTCAAACATTAATGTAGGTAGGTTTCATTCACTGTAGGTGGGTTTCATTCACTGTAGGTTTATTTGCAAAGTAATTTGGATAGTTATGATTGATTTATTTGGTTTTTCTGTTAGATGTATAATTGGTGTACAACCGATTATCCTCCTCCAAGCTATTTTATATTCGGTGGATTTGTTTTTTCAAAATTCTATGGGGGTGTGAAGAACATCTGAAGCTTCATAGCTCTGAAAAAGGAAATTGAAAAAGCATCCCTCAAAATGGGAAATGGAGGATATCGATGTCAAACATTAATGTTGGTGGGTTTCATTGAGTGTAGGTTTATTTGCCAAATAATTTTGATAGTTCTGATTGAATTTTTTTTGTTTTTTTGTTAAATATATAATTGGTATACAACCGATTATCCTCCTCCAAGCTACTTTATTTTCGGAGGATTTGTTTTGCACAGAATTCTACGGCAGTGTGAAGAACATCCGAGCTTTTCTTCTGAGACTTCTCTGCCTTGATTTTGAGCTTGTTGAGTTGCTTCTTACGCTCATACATCACTTGTGACCTTACTTTCTCTTCGTACCGCAGCAAGATCAAACAAAGGATAAATCAAATTTGTCTTTACATAACAAATTTGTTAATATAATCTAAAATTTGTTAAATAAGTAAGACATTCAGCAACAACTTCTCACTTTATTTTTAAGTTTGTACGGTAACAAGATCTAACAAATAAGCACACCGAGCATAAATGACATACGTACACATATATGATTCATTAATACTTCTTGGAAGTCAAGAAGTATTCGCTGACACACATAGAAAATATATTGAGGTTCCAACTAAATTAATTAGTATCACCAATATAATTTTGTTTCATAGCATTCATATCTTGCTTGAATTCAACCATTGCATCTCTCGGCAACGTCATGATCACTTTAACTCCACCTTCCATTGATGGATCCAATTTTGAAGGTCTCAAAATCATGCCTATATGCACTGCGCTATCCCGCTGAGTCAACGGCCGAAGATTCACAGGCTCATTCCAACCAAAATCCATCGAACCGAACCAACCAATATTCCTCCAGTCCGTCAAGAAAAACACTCCATCGCTTACCCCTTCGAATTTGGCACCATCTCTCATCAATCTCTCTCCGTTGCTCAGCTCCTCCTCAACATACCGCTTGTCATATGCTGTTTTCTTGGCTTCTTTCACGTGCTTCGCAATGTCATAGATCGATGCTTCTTCGAGTTCTCTCACGGTTAACTCGACGTAGACATCTATGTATGCGTTACCGTAGAAACCTTCAGGAAGTGGTGGATCTAAAACATGTCGGATTCCAACAGCTAAGGCAAGGACAGTGATCCCGTCAGGGTTTAGCTTTAGGGCTCGAGATCTTGCTTTCCATATGCAAGAACTAAGTAATTCAAAAGTAGTGACACTCTCTTTAGGGAACTCGCATCCTATCATCAAAGAATCTTTAAGCCTCTTTATATTCCCAGCCCGAATGTTTATTATCTCCGTGACCTGTTCGATAAACAATAGATCAAATGACATCAAATAGCTAAAATAACCTTTTTGTTCTTTATAATACAAAATATGTTATATAGAGAAATAACCTAGTATTCATTTCTTTATGTTTGTGTTTTAAATGAACTTCAATAACTTATCTTATAATAATACCATAATTTATATGAGAAATTTTTTTTTCTTAATCTAAATAAATTTACAAAAAATTATAACATTTTGTTTGGATTCCTTCTTTCCATTTTGGGTATAGATTTCCGGTACGAAGTAGGGATTTTGAGTATATAGATATTAAATTTGTGGTATTATTAAAAAAAAATAATTAGTGATGATATATAACTGGAACAAGAAACACAAAAGCATGGTATGATAGAGAATTGCTCTCTATTATACATTAAATCCACAGTATTATTGAAGTTAATGAGGTGAAATTACATACCATATCAGTAGTAGGCATGTATGGTGAGGTAGCCAAAAGATTAGCAATGTGGCCTCCGGGAACTTTTGCCGGTTCATTATCAATTTTTCCGACAAGCCGCTCTCTCTGCCACACTGGCATCACCGATGGCTCGCTCTTCCCGCCAGCTAACTCTGTTAAGGCATGGATGACCTGAGCCACACCGTATCCGTCACACACAACGTGCGTCAATGCAGTGCCAATGGTAAATCCTCCGCAAGCAAACTTGGTCACCTTCCAAAAAGTAGCCAAAAGGAGCAATGAAATTTCTTGATTACTTACAAAGAGATTCTTGATATGATCCATTTGTATTATTTACTAACTTTTATCAAAAAGTATTATTAACTAACGTCTAAATTTTGATATTTTGTGATTCATGCGATATCTATCATCTTTGAAGAAACTAAGAAAGTGAGAACTTACTTGCAAAGCTAGAGGATGATAACAAAAATCGGTATCATAGTCAATTTCGATTTCAGGCACTAGACGCAAAGCTGCTTCGTCATCAAGTTTTTCCAAGTAGTCTAGAGAAAGGAGGTCGAGAGATGTGGTAGCGACCGAAAATGGGACTCCCTCCCCGCGACAAACTAGCTGAAGTTTTCGACCATTCTCTCCTCTCATTATCTTGCCTGAAAGTGGATAATAGTACACAAGAAGCTCGGACAAAGCTTTCCTAAGTAGAGCGACTGGATCATTTTGATTATGTTCATTGGCTTTGTAAACGTAAATCGTTGCGTACATATCTTCATTGAGAAAATCGCTGTCTAAAGTTGAGAGGGAGAGAATTTCACAAGGAGTTTGTTTTGAAGGTATAACAAACTCGACTGGTTTCATTTCGAGTGATAGAGGAAGGCTCGGTGTTGTTTGGTTTGACATCTTTTATCAAAAAAAAGTATGATATAAAATCAACGTCCACTTCTTGGTGATGGATATATAGCGAAGTTTCTCTTAAGACCTAAAAACTCTATGAATTTTTTTTTATCATAACCAAGTGGTAATCCATCACCATACGATTCATTTATATAAATTTTTCTAGTATTGTGAATTTTGTTTCTATTTTGAAATTTAACATGGATCCATGTTTGACGGGATATATAACAAGACATGCATATATAAGTCATGACTGATCGTTTGCGTTTACGACTTTGTATAAAAATTTATAAATGAATCTTTTCTTTTCATTTTGACATATAAACTTAAAGTAGAGAAATCCTGGAATTTAGCACACTACAATATTCGTTTCCACGTTAAACATGGAACAAGCTAAAATGAAGCTGTCATGAATACGTTTAGATAAAAAGTTAACGTGGTGCTAGTCAGCTACGAATAGATTATAGGAACTATATTTTGGAAATATAGTACTTAATTATGAACTAGTACTACTGTTCTAATTGATTCTAAAATCCAAATTATGGTTTAGTCATTCATACCAAATGAATACCAGACATTGCTAGCAAACTCCTCTACTAATATATACTAGTAAAGGACATGCACGTTTGTGCGGTGTGACGTTGTGGTTTTGTGTAAAAAATATAACCTTAAACCCGATCCGAAAACCCTAATCAAAAATTTTAAAAACCAATAAAAAAAATGAAAACCCAAAATTTTTTAATATGTCTAAACCCGAAAACCAGAAATCCAAAAAATCTTGAAAACCCAAGACCCAAAAAATCCCGAAAACCTTGAACAGAACCAAAAAAAACTCGTAACTTTTTCACCCGAAAGCGGAACCTAACTCTAAAAACCTAATCAAAAATTTTAAAATACCAAATTTTTTTTAATATGTCTAAATCTGAAAACTCAAAATCCAAATAACTGGGAAGAACCAAAAAAACTCAAACCCAACATGAACAGAAATTTCGAAAAAACTCAAACAATTTCTATATCTCTATAAAATTAGGTCTCAGATTTTTCACCCGAAATCCTAATGACTTTTCATTCTTGCAAAGCTGGAAACTTATTGCTTCGAACCAACGTTGAAGAGCTAATTATATTAAACTCTGCAACCACATTGTTATGGGTTTTTAATCGACCTCGGCCAAAGGGCTTCAATTGCTCTTGATAAAATCATTGATTGGTTCGCGTAGAGCAATGCAGTAGAGTCTCATATGCATGTAAACCAAATCCACAATCAGTAAGAAACCAAAAATATACATATATAAAATCCACAAAAAAGTTTTGTTTCGTTTAATGATCGGCATGGTTTATATATTGAAGAAGATGTGCCAATTTAGTAAATATGGCGAAAAATATTCTGTTTCGTTTTAATTATGGTATCTCGTCAAAATATACCATAACATTAATATATGGATATATTTTCAAATTCTATAATTAGGAATTCAGTGGTAGTTATTGTGATACTCCAAATATATTGTATGATTAATGCTCTTCCGATTTTATTGTCTAAATTGTTAGTTTCCTATTAAACTGCGAGTTTAATAAAGCAGATACGCCAAATATATTACACTTGAATGCCTTTAAAAAAAGCAAATGTTATTACACCTGGATATATTTGATCACTTTATATTGTGGTTTTATAATTTAATATGCATGAATTGCTTTTGATATGCGGCGGTTTGATTTTTCGAAACCAAGTATAAAACCAACCGGTCTGATTTAAGTAACTTTTGGATCCGTGTGTTTTTCTTTTGGGTTTCGGGTCGGGTTATTTCAATTTCTGAGTCAACTCATTCAACTCGACAGCTTTTGTACAAAATTACCCCTCTTTATACCTATTGCCAAACACTTTTTCTTCATAAATGAATTGGTTTTTTGGTCTAAAAATTGTCAATGTACTTCTCAATTCATAATAAAGAGTTGCCATTGGTGATATTAGTTTTTTCCCATCTAAATTTCTATATAAAATGATATGTAACTGCTTTTTTTTTTTTTTTTTGAACAAACGGGCAAACTCTTCGTGTGCAATTCGGTTTCAAACTTTCATTTGGTGTTTAATTAGGCCCATAACTTTCATTTCATAGCTAGTCAACTCCATTATTATTAACTTAAAAAAAATAGTTCAAGACACAAAAAGAACATCACATGAATATACAAAAATAGTTCAAGACAGGAAACGAAAACGACATCAATATTTTCGTAGTTATATTTTCTTTCTTTCAGATAACAAAGCCCCCATTGGCTCTAATAACCTGACCATTGATCCATTCCCCACCATCACCTGCCAAAAACCCTACAATCTCCACAACATCCTTTGGCTCACCAATCCTCCCCATCGGACAAGCCCCTGCAAGCATCTTCACCGTTTCATCACTCTTTCCGGCAAAGAACATCTCCGTCGCTACCGGCCCTGGAGCCACACAATTCGCCGTTATCCGGCTTCCCTTGAGCTCCTTGGCCAACACTTTCACCATCGTTTCCACTGCGGCCTTTGATGCTGCGTAAACTCCATACCCCGGTGATAGACCTCCGACCATTGAAGTAGACATCATAATGATTCTTCCACCACCTCCTCTAATAACCCTTTTGGCAGCTTCCTTGCAACACAAGAAAGCCCCCCTCGTGTTTGTTTTGAATGTTTTCTCGAAATCTTCAAGTGTGGTCTCGGATAATGACGGATACTTAGGGTCCAAGACACCTGCGCAATTCACAAGGATGTGAACTTGAGATCCAAACTCTTGTTCTGTTTGGTCAAACAAATTGCTGATCTGGTCTGGATCTGCCACATCTGCTCTGACTGCGATTGCTGACTTTGGTTGAGATGAGACGTTTAGTTCCGAAGCCAAGATTTCAGCTTCTGCTGAGCTCGAGACGTAATTGAGGGTGACTCTTGCGCCAAGACTGTGGAGGTGAATTGCAACTGCACGACCGATGCCTCTGGTGGCTCCAGTCACTATGGCTACCCGTCCGGCCAGAGGGAGTGACGATGAGCTTCTTGGGTTCTTCTCCATTTCTCTTTTCTTCTTAATTTGGATGTAAATAAGAAGGATATAAATGGATCACATTTATAGACATCAAGAGTGACACTGTAGGATCCAATCATCCAAAGAGATTATTTTAGTCTTTTTGACTTCTGTTATACTCATGGCCTGAGAGTCGGCCGTCTTATCTTTTAGACTTGTTTTTACTTCGTAAGCAGTGACGTGCGTGCACACACTTCATTTGACTTATGTGAATATCTCTGACTACTCTTACGTAAGCACACATGTTTTTCATATCTAATATTAAATTTGATTTGTGGCCTAAATGATATCAAAACAAAATTATGACTCTAGAATGCCTAGTTTAACATTATTTCTGTAAATATATTTTGATTTCAAGTAAATCCAAAATTATATTCTGATAGCAAAACTCGATATGCTGTATATACTAAAGTAAGTTTATCATTAATATACATACCTAACATGTTTAATAAATATCCCATACTAATTTTGAAAGTTTTCGATCTAAGAAATATTTATAGGCAAGGCATAATATAACGATATACACTATACAGGCAGGTGAAAATCAATGTTATTTATAATAGCATGTGTCCGGGTGGGATTATAATTGTACGTCGAAATATATGCATAACATGTTTCATTTATAACAGCATACATGTTTTATTTGCTTGTTGAAAAAGGACCAGGAAAATAGTAAATGGTGATTCGAGTTTAATGGAGAAAAATTAGGGTTTTGGCCAAGAAATATATTTTAACAGAGCTTTGCTAACAATATAGAGTGGGGATGAGAAGTATACAGTGCATCTATGCCTACTCCTACTACTCTTGGTTTCTCATGAGATAAGTAAAATTTCGGCCGCTTTTGTAATGAAATCGCTCGCGTCACTTCATCCAATTGACTTATTCCTTTATTTTCTGATAAGCTTAAACTATTCATGAGCTATGTTGTATGGAAACTTACGTTTTCTGTTTCGAAAATTTGTCGGAAACATTGATGAAAACTACTTCTTCATATTGAAAACATAACAATGAAAAAAAAAATATATATATATATATATATATATAATTAATTGATTAATTTAATTATTTAATATAATTAATGATTAATTATATTAACTAGGTTTGAAGCCCCTGCAAGCGCGGGGTTGCTTGCGATAGTTTTTCTACTTTGTGTTAACTTTCATGTTTTATTATATTTTGGATGTATCCAGCCAATAACACTAAAAATATGAACAATTTGTTTTTTATTTACTTTTATTAGGATGTTAACATCTCACTTTATTTCTAGTTTTCTATTTCTAAAATTTTAGAAAGTTATAAATATTATGTTTGTTTACTTCTATTAGACTATAAACATGCATATGCATTTGACTCAATATTAAAATTTGTAAACATATGTAAAATCGCATTTGCACTCGAAATAAGATGTATACTTTTTTATATATCTACTTTGTTGTGGTAACATCTGAGCTTCATGACCATTGATTATTTCTTTTATGTTAGTTTTGTAAATATAAATTATATTTTTAAAAAAACAGATTACAATCCTTAAAATTTTCATGTTTTCACTGCAATTAAATTTACATATAAAAACTTGACTTCTATTTATTTTTAAAAACAAATCTAATTCTAATTCTTCATTAGCTTTCTATTATCTTAATTAATTTATATTCAACTTTTTAACTTGTAAACACATTATAACATTTTTAAATAGGATAAATCTTTTGAATAAAAAGGTAAATATATACTATTTCAAGTAAAACATTTCTTTAATCCATCTCCATTTTATATTCCAACTTTTTGATAACTTTTAACATCAAGCTATCATATACTTTATATTAATTAATTGATTTATTTATGTATTTTTCTTAGTTTTATATATATTTAAAATTTGAATAAATGTAATGAAATATGAATAGACATGTATCTAATAAATATTTTAAAGACAATTTAATTGTTTTTGTGCTGATGTGGATAGTCTAGGAGGAGAAAACAACTCTCCTATTATATATAAAATTTGATAAGATTAGTCTTAGCATTATATGTCGAGTTTAAAAATATTCCTCTTGGTGAAAATAATTTCATTGGGCTCGTAACAATAATAATAGAAAATATTATTTAACGTTTTAACATTGAAAATCATAATATTTATCATTAGTCAAACTATTTAAATGGCTTCCAAAACATTTTCATAAATTTTCACTTCTGCATTTGCATTTCCATTTCCGTACAACATAGTTTATGAGAACACATTTGTTCTCATGTAGAATGAGTCTCCCCTTCCAGGACTTCGTCTTCTTGTATTGATACAAGATAGGTGGATGTTGGGTTTCGTACGTAACAGAGATTTCACGAGAATTTGGCTCCTTCTTGTTCTTCTTACTCAGACCAAGCTCTTAAGCCTACTCCACCAACCATCTTTGCAGACCTCGACGGCTCCATCACTCGGCTCTTTCCGTTTTCTGCTACTACTCTCAACTTCGTCCCTCAAGATTTGTACACCGCACTCAATAATATTTGCATCGTTTACGTCACAGCTGAATTCAAAAAAAATATCGCTGGTAGTTGCATCTACTTCAACGCATTTAAACAGGCTCCCAGAAAACACGAACAGGTGTTCAGTTAGAATCTCGCTGGTAGTCGCATCTACTTCAAGGCACCGAGACAGTCTCGCCGAAGGGCAGTATTCCAGCTCATTGATGATAACCCTTTTGCTTATTAGACGACAGACAACACGAGCGATGTCTAAAACCTGACCGGTTGGAGTAAGCAAGAGGCAAGCCTTAAATCTCGAGGACACAGAGAAAGTCCCTGAAGAGATGGTTATGGAGTTTCCTTTGGCTTTGTGAGTGAAATCAGCAGGGACTTGTTTGCCTGGTAAGCTTACAGACATGTAAGCCCATCGTTGTATGATTACTCTTCTTGCTTCTTCAGAAAGTGACAGACAGTTGAGGAAGCTCACTTCTCTGATTGGATTGTAGAAAGTGGGGGAAGATACTCTTTTCGTGTCTTTCTCCGATTTAACACACTTGGAGTCGTTTACAGTGATACACGCTCTTGGTTCATAGAGCCAAAAACATACACTTTTGAGCGATCCACAACCAGCTGCATCCAGTTTCAAAAGCGAAGGGGGAAGACTCTGCAGTGACTCCAACTTTCTGCAGTTTCGGATGATAAGATCTGTCAGATGAAGGAGACCTATGATACAATCTGGAATCTTCTTTATGCCAATGTTGCTTAGGTTTATCTCCGTTACACGAGACCAACGTCCAGCAACGGATGCAGGAACATCTTCTATACTTGTGTTTCCTACATCAAGATGTTTTATGTTGCTAGAAAAATCTGGAAAGCTTCTCAATCGTGAGCAACCATTCATTTTGACTTCCTCAAGAGATGCTAAGTTGATGTTGGTGGGAATAACTCTTAGCTTTACGCAGCCATTCATCTTCAACTTTTCCAGTTTGTGTAGATTTTGAATAGAGCACGGAAGCTCCACCAAACTTGTGCACCCCTTAAGATATAGTGTCTTGAGACTAGTAGCCTTGGAAAGATTTGGGATTTCTTTCAACTTTGCAGAAAATTCCAGATGTATCTCCTCGAGATTAGGAAGGGGCTGCATTAATGTCAATTACAAGAAATGAGAGAAAATCAATTTTTGGAGTTTATTCCAGACTTTTAATGGATACTCTCTCCGTTCATTTTTAATGAATTTTCTTTTCTGAGATTTTTTACATATATTAAGAAAAAGTTAAAGTTCAATCACAAGTATATAAAATTTTAAATGAAACAACTTTTTAGAATTTCAAACCAATAGCAATCTAAAAAAACATAACTACTCGACATTGAAATCTGATTTTTTTTTTTTAATCAATAACAAGCGTCTTAAACTCCTATAAAATCTATCTTTAAGAAACAACATAAAAAGTTCATTTTTAAAAAAATGAACGTAAGAAGTAACAAATACCAACCTGGATTCCATCCCAGAGCTTTTCGAGATTGCTGAATGACATAAAGAGCCTGATGAGACATTCAGGTTGAAATTTTTGAGGAAGACGTTTTCTCGGGTAATAAGGCCACCATAGTAACCTTAGACGAGGTAGATATTCCATTTCTTCTGATATCCCCAATTGGCTCCCATAGATTCTTAAGAAACGGAGATTACGCATTCCTTCAAAGGCTCGCCCACTTACAGAGAACTCGTCCATCTTGGACATATCAAGTGATATACCTATGACAGATCCAGTACCCTAAACAAATATTTCAATGACTGTTATAACGAAAGTAATACGGAAAATGTTTAGAGGGAAAATATGTAAATGTAAAAGAACTTACTGTTTTATTTGCTAATACATCACGAATTTCTTGGGGCTCTACTAAAAATTGACGTTTCCCAGGCTCATCAGACTGTTCATGCACTATTTGTCTACCCATTTGTTCTAGCAAAGAGTGCATCTCTATACGATTATGATAAGGGATTTGCACAAGAGATTTGACGGCTAGGGTCTTCAGCCCGTTTTCGACATCCAAATTACTGTCAGCCAGCATGCTTCTCACATCATAAGAAGTATTGTTGAAAAAGCATGCCATGTGGAGAAATAGAGATTGATCTTTCTTCGACAGTCGGTCATACCCCACTCTTAATATGTCCTCAACTTTTCTATCAAGACTAGATTCGATCCTAGATAACTGAAGTTCCCACTCTTCCTTGCTCTCCCCACGCAGAGATGAACCCACAACAGAAAGGCCTAAGGGAAGATTACCGCAAAGCTTTGCTACTTTACGTGCAACCTCTTCAAAACCATCTGGCACAGACCTTTGTTTGAAAGCAGATAGACATAACATCTCAAGAGCCTCTTCATCAGATGGAAACTCTACATGGTAGATGTCGTTTATCATGTGTGCCACTAAAATCTTTTTATCTTCTGTGGTAACGATGATTCGACTTCCATAACCGAACCAAGAAAGTTCTTTAGCTAATACCTCTAATTGCTCTAAATCATCTACATCATCAAGAATGATAAGCACTTTTTGATCTTTCAACCATTGTTTTACCATTCCTAAATGATCTACCCCTATATCCCTTTGGCTCAAAACCTTAGACAGAAGGATGTTTTGTAAATCCAACTTTGATTCATAATCATCAACACCCACTTTGCTCTTATAACTTCCTCCTCTAAGGTTCCCCATAAAACATCTAAGTCTAAAATCGCTAGAAAGTAGATTGTATAGAGCTCTAGCAATGGTAGTCTTACCGATTCCCGCAGGACCCCAAATTCCGATCATCTTCACATCATCACACTCTAAGCATAACAAAGAGTTCAGATTTGTCAAGTGGGCTTTCATTCCAACCATCCCCTCAAAATCTCTTGAGGGTGAGAGATTCAGTTTGTTGGAAATGTCTGTAGCAATCTTTTTGATCATATCTGCTTCGTTAGCCCTAACAAAAAGCAAACAAAACCTGTGTTGGAAAAATCTATACAAAAGTTTCACCATTGCTTGAGAAAGATACAAATTCATACCAGTTGATATAATGTTCTCCTTCAATATTTGCAACATCAGTCAAAGCTTTGCTCCATCTCTGCTTCACTTCCTCAGTTTTTCCTTCACAAGTTTTCATGAAAGCGCTACCAAAATCTCCCTTCTGTTTTCGCACACTGGATGGATCAACATTGTAAAAAAGAGTCATCACCATATGCCCCAAATCTTCTTTGCACCTCAAGATTTCAACCAATTCATCTAAACACCAGCTCGAAGAAGCATAGTTCGTAGAGAGCAAAACGATCGACATTCTGGATTCTCTAATGGCTTTCACCAGTTCAGGTCCGATCGTATTGCCTCTCTCGATCTCCTGATCTTTGAACGTCTTGATCCCTTTGCTTGCAAAGAAATTGTGTAGATGACTGAGAAAACCTCTACGGACATCTGCGCCGTGGAAGCTCGGGAAGACGTGGAATCTCTTAACGTAAGCAGGAGAAGAAGAGGAAGCCATGAGAAAGAGAGATGATTGGAAAAACTCAAAAAAGTATGGTAATGGTTTTGATAAGCTATCTATGGAGGAGGTAACAACTAACAAGTCCTTTATATATATTTTGATTATGCAAAAAAAAAAAAAAACGCGTAAAAGAGGAGAATTTTCAAAGAGATTGTAATGGAGAATACAAAGATGTTTCCCAAAAAGTCGTTGACGACCCATAAAAGCTATAGTCGTGGACGACCTCGTACCTCCAAAATCTTTGAGGGGCCCAAAGAAGAAAGATTACATTCTATGGAAATTTAAAGAAGAAAATTTGATTTTTGAATAAGACAAACAAATAAAAATAAATATTTTTTTTAAACGATTTTATTTAAGACACCTTCTTTACGGCCGGCCTTTTGGCTTGGCCCCCAAATTTTTTTAAAAGAAATATATATTAATTTTGGCACCAAAATTTAAAAAATCCGATTATTCAGTTATTACCATTTCGGTTTAATTAAAACATCCGATTCCGTTAGTTCAGTTCGGTTTTCTACATACACATTTTCAGATCTTCTCAATCTCTAATAAATAACCGCCGGCGGAAATCTGTGTAACCTCTATGGAGAGCATTCCAATCTAAAGTTTTCATTTAGGTTTACACCGATCTTCCTTTGTTGAAGATCAATGACGACGACGATTTCCAATCTTCCTAGAGATCTGGTAGAGGAAGTAATCTCAAGGGTTCCGGCGACATCCATGAGAAAAGTCCGATCCACTTGCAAAAAGTGGAACACTTTATCCAAAGACCGAAGCTTTACAGCGAAACACCTCGCTAAAGCAGCAGCAGCATCAACGGAGAAGAAGGAGTCTCTCGCGATCGTGCTGATGAATTACAGTCTCCATCTGATGAGCGTCAATCTCCACAACAACAATCCTCCTCTATCCCCTGAAGGTAAACTAATCCATCAATTAGAGGTCACTCGCGTGTGTCACTGCGAAGGTTTATTGTTATGCACCACGAGAGACTACACTAGTCTCGTTGTTTGGAACCCTTACTCGGGTCAAACCCGGTGGATCTCCGTCGAACCCGCATATCCCACTTACCTCGCCCACAGGCTTCATCTATACGGTCATGTTCTCGGATACAACGAGGGCAAGAGATCACACAAGATCTTGAGGTTTGCTTATGCTCCGTCGAATCTTGAGCAGTCTGTGCAAGAAATCTACGATCTAAGCACTGATTCTTGGAGGGTTCTTGATGACGATCCAGACTGGTGTTTAGAGTATGGTAACTATGGCTTGTCTCTGAAAGGAAACAGCTACTGGTACGCTATGGACAAGGAGTCGCGAGGACAAGGAGTCCCTGACTTCTTGCTCTGCTTTGATTTCACCAACGAGAGATTCGCGCCGCGTCTGCCTCTGCCGTTTACGTCTTGGTGTCCTGACTCTGTGTCTCTGTCCAGCGTTAGAGGAGAGCAGCTCGTGGTGTTGTTTCAGAGCAGTGATATGCTTGACTTGGAGATATGGGTGACGACTGAGATCGGTCCTGAGGCGGTTTCGTGGAGCAAGTTGTTGACGTTGGATACTGGTGGGCCGTTGAGAGGGTTGGAGTTTGGTAGTGGTGGGGGTTTCTTTGTTGACGAGGAGAAGAGAGCAGTGATTGTTTTTGATGAGGAGAAACATGTGAAGACGCGTCCCACTCGTCACGTAGCTCGCATCTTTGGCGAGGTTGGTTACAGCTTGAGAGAAGAAGTTGATCTAGGAGAAGTTACAAAGGATGATGGTTTTAGTTTATTGCATGCGTGCTCTTATGTTCCAAGTGCAGTCTTGTTTTGAGTCTTTTGTTCTGATGGGAAACCAAAACCAACGTCTTTACCAAATTTATCTACTTTGTAAGATTTGTTTGACCTTTGTAGAGTATGGACACAAACAAGCAATCTATAGCCTAAAACATTCTTCTTAGAAAGCAACGTAACGATACAAGTCTTTGTCAGTTATCTGATCTTAATTAGGACAATCGTAAAAGGATTCCTTCAGTCATACAGAAGAACCTATTGCAGTGACAAAATTGTCAGACATAACAAAATCTCCACGAAAATTTGACAATTTCTCAGATGGGGAATGGTTATTTTCCAGTGAAGCATCCAGATTATGATGCTGATATCCTTAATATAACAATAATCGACGAGAAATTTGAGATTGAAGGACCTGGGAATATCTAAAGGAGAGAAAATCACTTCCTATAAAAGTTGGAAACAAAATAAATAATTCATTTGTTTAGTGTGCATATGTATATTTACAAAATTATATCCCCAAATTTTCAATTCGAGAAATGATATCACAAGAAGCAACATCTCAAGTTATATTTTCCACCCATAACATACTCCATCTCTCTTTTTTATATAACTAATCTTGTACTATTCTAGAATGAATCGTGTGTAATAATATGTTGGCAATGCAAATTAATAAAATTGCATCATATGCTGGATTAATGATTGATGTCTTGCATTGTATGTAAGATCATAAATATTAGGAATCATTCTTGTTGGACAAGAAAAATGAACGTTTTAAGCCTCTTATGGCTGCCACAAGATTTTACAGCCACCATAAACATAGTTCATACTTTTCTTTTCGGTTATAAGGCTTTAAGGGACAACTAAGTTGTTCGTTGAAAAAGTATTCAATTTAGTCATTTCTTTTGTGTGGATATCAGGCCGTAAGCGTTATGCATGGCTTGAATCATTAACTAGAGAAAACTAAAGAAATAAAATATATATTAACTGTGAAATGAAAAAAACGTAAAATAATTTTGGATTCATTTGGTAAAAAATGTTTTGTAGTTACGAGTTCACATTTCTTGGAGCTAACACACACACGTCAGTACTCAAAAAACTTAAGGTAGTGACCACATCGCTGATTAATGGTCGGACTATTGGTTCTTCTTGAAGACACATAGCCGCTACTGCTACGGCTTGGTTCAGACTTTTTTCCGGGAACTCGTCTTCAAGAAGTGGGTCCGCTAGCTCTGGGTATCGATTTGGTTCTCTGAATATCGGTTGTGCCTAAACCACAATTATAGACAATTATGTTCAAAAGAATTTCAAGCAATAAAGGCTTAAACCGGTTAGGTTTCAACAGGGAGTGTGAATAAATATGAAAATGTAAATAGAAAGTTAAAAGAGAGTTTACCCAAGTGACAAGATTTTGTTCATGACTTGGTCTCGTTGTGTCGATAACTCGTTTACCGGTTATGAGTTCCAAGAGAACGACTCCAAAACTATATACATCAGATTTAACCGTTAGCTGACCGGTTTTATGATACTCAGGAGCGCAATAACCATAAGTTCCCACAACTCGGAAAGATGCATTTTGTGTGTCCTTAACCGAGCCAAGTTTTGCCAAACCAAAATCCGATAGATTCGCATCGTAATCCCGGTTCAGCAATATATTTGACGATTTAAAATCTCCATATATCACCGGAGGGTTTGCCTTTTCATGGAGATACTCGAGCCCTTTTGCAGCTCCTAAAGCGATCCTTATCCGAGTGTTCCAATCCAGTGTTTGTTGTCCAAGAACACCATCTGGTACAATTAGATAACCGGGTCCGGTTATTGTATGACATTCTAAATTTGACTAATAATACCAAAAAATAATTAATTTAGTTATGAGTATTTAAACCGGTTTAGGGATGGAGACGAATGATATACCAAGGAGATGATCTTGGAGGGAACCAAGAGGCATGAACTCATAAACAAGAAGTCTCTGGTCTCCATCAAGACAATATCCGATGAGATTAGCAAGATTGGGATGATTAAGACTACTTAACGCGAAGATCTCTAATAGAAACTCTTTGTTCCCTTGTAATCCATTCCGATCAAGTTGCTTCACAGCCACCACCTATATTTCGTTCACCAATCAACAACAAATAAGAGACTCTTTCTCTTTGTTTCTTCAGATAAATAAAAGCCTTTTTAAAATAAAACAGCTATGTATATGTTTTTTACTTTTTGTTAAATATGTTTCTTCAGAAAACATTCTTTTTACCTGTCCTGTCTTCTCAATCTTTCCTTTGAAAACCCGCCCGTACCCTCCTTCTCCGATTAAGAACTCCTGCCGGAAACTGTTTGTAGCCGTCGCTAATTCCCGGAACGTGAAACTCTTTGCCTTGGCATTTTTCGGTGATCTTTTGTTCGTTGCCACCGAATCCAATAATGTTATTTGTCTCCGATCACTCCCTGTTAACAAATTTGAAAACAAATTTAGAGAAAATTGGAAACGAGCCCACCTATTTCTGCGATTTTTTATTATTTTTTATTATGAGAACTTACACGGCGGGAATTCTTGTTCATAGGGAGCAGCCATGGATGAGCCTTCATTCTCTCTGCTTTTGTTTTGTGGCGACGACCCCAAGAAACAACTCATTTCTTGGAAATCGAAAATCAAAGCTAAAACTTAGTTTTGTAGAATCTCTGGTCTTCTTAGAATCAACGATTCACTAGTTTATCCCTAGAAAACTATGAAGTTATCCTGGGGATTATCTAGCAAGTCGTTGATATGTTTTACTAGAAAAACATAAAGTATGACCAGAGATCCTACAAAACTAGAAGCAGGTTATCAATTCCGTGCTTTGTTTTATTCAGCGGATTTTTTACAGTTGAATATATTTCGTTCTTAAAATCTGATGTTTCTTAAGACGGGTGATGTTTTGACGATGAAACAAGAATGACAAGGACAACCGCAGGATGAGATGTGAGAAGGTTTAGGAAAGTAATAGAAAATAGAATCTTAGCTAAGACTTTCCAATAATAAATTATGAATCTTTTCTCATTTTTAGATTTTTCTTGTTTTCTTGTTTAACTTAAAATCTAATACATCGCTAAAATATGCCTAACAGATGTGGATAAATAGTTTTATCGATTATACCAAAATTAGATCGCCAAATGGGGATAGTTTCGGTTTTTAATGTTTCATGTGAATTATACAATTCTATTATATCTCGTTGGTGCAAGAAAACATTATAAACAGAAATACGATGGTTGGTTGTGGCCATAATTGATGTTGATAGTATCAGTTTCATGAAGGCATGATCAATAATCTAAGAATCTATATTTATCAGTTAATCATCCTTTTCTCAAAAATAATAAAATAAAATGATCATCATCTTTAGCTCCTTCCTTTACCTTTTAGGAGCAACAGTTTGTTCAACTATTTCATTTCTGTCAAATGGTTTTTGGTTTAATAGTTTCCTTGAATGAAGAGGTGTATAGTTCAAGTCCACTTGTGCGGAATAGTATTCTTAAATGAAAAAAGACTAAAGGGCTTGAACTATAGTCTTTTTCCAGTTTTGAGGTTATGAAAAAAAATATATATTAGGGAAATATATAGATGGTTTCATCATACACACGTGAAAAATAATTATCTCTCCTTTTCTTTACAATGCTAAGTTCAAAGCGTAAACCAAACGAAGAAGGCAAATGAAAAAAATATTCAGAAAAAGGAAACACACATTATAAAATCCATGATAATTCTCTCCATTAATTACAAATTTTCCATAATGATCTGTATATCAATCAACTCATCTCTCAAACTCACCCCCCAAATATTAAATTAAAGTACCCAAAAAAAGAAAACTAATTGCTCACCTAGTTGGAGATAGGGTTTGGACCACTTGGAACCTCATGAGCTTCAGCTCCGAACTCTCTCCTCCTCCTCTCAGAAGAAGAAGAAGAAGTGCGGCTGCGTCGCGTGTGAGCCGTTGGACGCAATTTCATAGTGGATGAAGATGGACTGGGAGGTTCTAGGAGAAACCTATCAGAAGGAGCCATAGTGTTCTTTGGTGAGGATTCGTGGAGATGATGAGTCATGGGACTTGTAGGGCTGATGAGCAATAAGAAAGCTAAGAAAATGAGTGTGATGGCTTGATTAGGATGCAATGACTTGGTGATGGTTTGATCAATTGAAGTTGCCATGCAGTTCACAAGAAGAATAAAACCACCCCCCAAAACCCGAAGAGGGCTCAATATCCATGAACCAGAGCTCTGTAAAATAGAGAAAAAAAAATGCAAAAGGAGAAATCTTGTAAGAAATAAGAAAAGCGTGATGAGGTAATTATGAGAGAGAGAAAGAGAGAGACTCGAATTTCCACACACACTTTAATCTGATGGCATGATAAAGATGTTGTTGGAGAACATCGCATCAAGATTGTTTCAGCCTTTGACAAAAAAAATGGGACACCTGCTCATAGAAAAAGTGTGGCAGATATGTCACGAGGTGTTAAATTATTAAAGAAACCTTTTCTACGATAATTTTTGGACTATTACATGGGACAGACTAGGGTTTGAATAAGAGGCACTATTAGTTCAGATTTTTCTTTCGTTAGATTACTGTTTTGTCCTGTGAATGCTTATAATTTTCGGTAGGCCTGCCTCTGAAGAAGAAGAAATGTACTGAGGAAATAGGAAAAATTAAATGTGTATTGGTCAATTGGCTATGCCTATATGGCAAAGAATCTTGGAAGATGAGGCAAAAAGTAAAGGAGAGATAATAAGAAAATGAAGGTTTCATACTTTCATGCTTCGTTTTCCTTTTGATTTATGTCTAAAGACTTTTTCTAGCTTTGCTGCTTCCCCAAGAAATATTTTGTTGACTACTAGACGTTTCTTTTTGTTAAAAACCTTGCATGTATAAACAAGGTCCCTATAAACATTAGTCAAAGGATATAAAAATTGGAACAATAGTCAAATGACGGTACTAAAATATATATACATACGCAGATGCAATTAGCTACCAATGCCATTGGTAAGTGGTAACTTTAGTTATTCATTATTATCTCTTACAATAGTCAATGTTTTTTCTAGCAAAAAAAGAAAGGATTAATGGTTTTGAAAGCTTTTCTTCTAAAAGCATCATGATCAAATATTGTGGTTCCGTGTTCATGTATTATTTGTAGATCTATATCTACATATTTGTTGGTAAAATCGCTATATTAATTTCTACTACATCACGAATAACTAACAGGAGTTTCTGATGGAGAATACTAAAAGAAAAAGGAATCATATCCTCTAGTCAAGTAACATAGATTAATTTATCTTCCCGACGTCACGTATATAAATTCGTATGAATGTGTGTATCGAGTATCAACTATCAACGTGTGAATATATACTGATAGATATAACACATGCATTCATTATCCTCTATGAGAGTGTATACATAAATGATAAATGTATTGAGGGCGATTAGGGGAACTTAATTAAGATGACTAAAGTAACGAATATTAGGTGGTGGGATTAGTGTATACGGGAGAAGCAGCTGCAATCTAGTGATATATCTTCAGTTTCAATGTTTCTGCACCCAACAAGAAAAACAATAAGTAAAATTATAATACACGATTTCGAATAGGCTCTGCAATCTGCATGATTGTCTCCCATACGTTTACGTGTTTTATATGGGTCCCAGATTTTTCTCGGTATCGTGCACTTGAGAACGATAGTACGTTGTCCGCAATTTCGTCATTTGTTTCATCTCTTTCTTAATTTCTTTTTTTTTTGGGATAAAATATCTTTTCCTAATAGCCCTTTTTACCACAAAAATAATTATATTTTACTAATTAATTACTGTTTTTTATAATTTGTTTTGCTATTGGCGAAAAAAAAAACAAACTGGAGATATTATAGAGACGTAAAAAGGATACAATATATATATATATATATATATATATATATTTTTTTTTTTTGTTAAAAGGTTTAAAGGATACAATAGCTACGATACGAATCAATTATAGGGCATGGTGGGATTGGTTTTTGATTGACCTCTATGAGAGTAACTCCATACCTGCCTCTTGTCTCCTTCTCCAATCTTTCTTTCTTTAAAAAAAAAATCATTTCACCGCATGATTTTGTATCTAATTATATATAGTTTGATTCGATAAATAATTTTAAACTTACTAATTTTAACATTAATGATATTTGCTTTTGTGTTTAAACAACCATGATTTACAAATATCATAGCTTAAGATTATACATAGTCATGAGTTTCTTATACTTTTGGTTTTTGATAAAGGAGATATTCATACCTTCTTTAGAAAGAAATTAGACGTAACCAAACTTGATACATAAACGTAAAATAGACATCATCTCGACCAAAGCATTATCCAATATTACATTTTCATTATCATTGTCACAATTTAAACGACACAAGAAACCAACACACATGGAAGTTGCCACCTTGATGTTTTGTTTCGGTTTTCTTTATTTAGACTTTTGACGCCATATATATTATATTTTTTTTAGTTTTTCAACTTTTCCTGAAGTTTTGGGTTCTAAATGTCAAGAATGGTGGACCTTTTAATCCTCTTCAATGTATATAATTTAAAGTTATAAGAAGAAAATGAATAAATGTGGCTTGGATGATATTGCAGGTTTTTTGTTTGTCTATGTTTATGATCTTATATGAAATGCAAATGCAAAATATATAACTTTTTTTTGTTATAACTTTCTTCTTATCTAACATCTATAATGAATTATATAGCCATTGTGACAAGTCACACAAGTGCAATCAAGAGAAACGTTTATATTTTTTTTTGGCGACCACATAATTAAGTTAGAATGTAGTCTCGTAATTGATTGTATAATCCGGATAAAAACAATTTACAAAAAAATGAAAAAAATTGAAGGTGTATGTCTGTTATCATATCCTGTTTTCTTGCATTTCTTTGCAAAGCTTAAACGCAACTGGTAGCCTCACTTGTTTTCACAAAGCCTCATTGATCATGTTAAACATCTTTGCATCATAGAATCACATAACCCCTTAACTATAGGTTTTTATGTTTCTGTGTTGGGTTTGAGTCCTAATTTACTAAACTCAGCACTTTTAGTTAGAGTTATGGCGCAGTTGACAAGTGCGTATGTCTTCTGGATGCTTAAACTCACACTATGATTTTATTATGATGAGAATTCGATGCTAAAGTTGTGTAATACGGATGAAGACATTCGATTTAATAAACAAAGGAAATAAGGATTATGATTAAACATATGATAGGAATAACGACTACAAGTATCCAATCGCTAATATGAACTAAGTAATTAGACCTTAGAATAATTTCCTTTTGAGTTATTTGCCCTTCAATTTCTAAGAATTATATCAAACTTATTTATTCTTCAACTTTCATTGTTTCAAGTACATTATATCAACGAAGCTGTGTTCTCAATCGTTTTAGACAAAGTCTCTGCTTCTATAACCAAACCTAGGAACCGTCTTCATCGCTAGAACTTGAGCTCTCCTCTACACCACCCATCGAAGATCCGGAGAAACCTGACAGATTTTCAACGGCCGAGGTAGGAGTCACAGAGGTAACAACGACAGCAGTGGGTTTTCGGGTTATGGTTTCTGGCTTGGAAGCAACAAGTCCCTGTGCCTCCATGGCTTCTCGAGCTGCTCTTTCCTTAGCTCTCTTGGCTCTTTCAAGAACCTCTTCCTACACGCAAACAATGTTAATGCAGAATGTTCATCGAAATCTTGCAAATGATGGAGCTTTTAGTCAAAAGTACCTGAATCTCTTGAACTTGTTTTTGTTGCTCAGCTTGAAACCTTCCAATGTTACTCAAAACTTCTCCAACAGTAGACTCAATACGCTCATTGATAACCTCAGCTAATGCCTTTCCCAAAAAGAAAGCATCCAACACAATTCTGTTTTCGTTTTCACCTGCAAACACACAAACAAACAAAAACCCAATTTTTAGCATCTAACACAATTCTGTTTTCGTTTTCACCTGCAAACACAAAAAAACAAATAAAAAATCCAATTTTTATTTGATTACAATCTAATGTTTTTTCTAATAGTCGAAGAAACTCACTGAATCAAAACCCAATATTGCAGCGATCCAGATTAAAAGTCTACGTTTTGTCTAAAACCCTTTAGAACCCTAAATTTTTAGAATCTTGTTCATATCCTAGAGCTGTCAAATTACAATCTGTTTTTGACGGATAAACCCTAAATTCCTGAAATGAAGCTCAAATTCGAAGGGTTTATCACCTGAAACTGTACCTTCGTTCCTCTTGCTGCTGCAATTGCATCTTAAAGAGGTTCGTCGAGCTTCTCCACTCAATCGTAGCCCGCTTAACTCAAAATTGGAACTCAATCGGGGACGAGGATTACAGGAAATGAAGGAAATGTGAGAGTGTTGACGATAAGGATTCGAAAGAGAGAAGGAGGAAGAAGATGGAATCGCCAAGCTGTTCATCTTGCTCAACCTCTTCAAGCTCCAATTCTCACTCACTCGCTCTTGTCGTCGTCTTCGGTTGAACAACGGGTCTCGTTTCGGGTTTTGACCACTCGTTCCAGATTCGAGTTATAGTTGGGCTTCAAAGGCCCAAACTATAAACACTTTGTTGAGTCTTGGGTGTTGAAAATAGTTTGTGTCGGGGCTTAAACCAAGCCGGTTTAATGAAATTGGTGATCCATTTGGTCCGGTATTATTCTCAAGGTTTACGGTTCTTGTTAAACCGCCTTTATAATGGTAACAGATTTTGTGATTTGATATATAATCAGAACTTGTGTGCTCTCTCTCTGACTTGTTCATTGTTGTACACAAAGAGAGGTGATTTGTATGAGTGAGAGTGAGAGTAAGAATAAGAGTGAATAAAAGAGTGAATGAGAGTGAGAGTGAGTAAAAGAGTGAGATTGAGAGTGAGAAAGTGAGCGAGTGATTTGTGAGAATAAGAGTGAGAGTGAGAGTGAGAGTGAGAGTGAGAGTGAGTGACAATGAGAAAGTGTGAGTAAGTGAGAGTGAGAGAGTGAGTGAGAGTGAGTGAGAGTGAGAGTAAGAATGAGAACGAGAAAAACAGAATGAATTAAGATCTGACAAACAGTGTTATTACATATGTCCCCACTTAGTCAAAAAAAGAAAAGAAAAAAAAACTGATCGAAAAAAAAGAATTTGTGATTTGTAATAGAGTAAAAGTTAATAACTCAAGCTATAGTGCAAGAATTCTTCAGTAGCGGTCAATTAATCAACCTAATGAATGACGTAAGGTAGAAGACGCTGTAAATGCGTCGATACATAGTTAACGGAGTTACACAGCTCGTTTGCAAAACTACTAGTTCTCTCCATATATATATATTAACCCTCTCATCACCTCTCCCACCTCTCATTCTCTCTTCCCCCATTTATATCAAAGAGGAGAGAAATAAAAAGCCTACAATGGTTGTCGCTAGAAGATTATTATCAATCTCAGTAACACTGATCATAATTTTAACACTTTTGGTCAATGTAATTGCGTAAGTTCTGAAATTCTCAAAAATGTCGATGTGATCTTTGTATTTTTGTCTAGGGCAGAGATTCTTACGTTGCTGTTTTGTCACTGTATATTACAATGCAGAATTAAAGAAACAGAGGAATCGAAACACGAGAGCTCAAGAAATACATCAATGGTGGATCAGTGAGTTCTCACTTCAGCTTTTTTAGTTGTAGAATTGATCTCACCGTTCAGATTGGATCTATGATATTAACTAATGTGTGTTGCATGCTTTGTTTTTTCTCAGTGAATGGCATGGACACGCCGTTAAAGACCCAAAAGAAATAGCAGCCATGGTCGACATGTGAGTCTCTCTCTCACTATATCATGATTTGTAAAATATCTGAGTTATCACCATAACCCAAACTTAATCAAGTGTAAATGTGTAATGCATGTCACTAATCAAAGCCTATAACATTTATACAGTTTTACCCACACACAAAAATATACAGTAAAAAATACTTTATCATATATATTTCCTATTACTAGAACATTTAAGATAGTCAAAATATGTGATGCTTTAACTTGAGTAGTTGAACAAACCTATGTGTAGGCGCGTAGAAAAAACAGTTTTACAGCCATAATTTCATAGTAAACGTTTATATGTAAGAAGATATTTTCATAGGCATTGTGATCCACGAAATTGAAAATATCAAATATATAATTGAGATTTATATATGTGCTTCGATTTTTATCATTCTTGTGTCGTGAGGAAAAACATAAATAAACATGTGAAAACCTTCTGACAGAAGAACAGCAATTTTATTGAATGAAGCCACACACCGTGATTCCCATTTATACCTCACTGTTTGCCTCTTAAGATCCACCGACGCCATTGTAGTAATGTTTACATACTTTATCCACATACATGTATAATTAGTATGCATATAATATCTGATTTCACAGAGTTCAAATACAAAACGGTAACAACTTTGAAATAAGACAAAAAAGAAAAAGCAACGAGGAAGGGAGTTTCTTTTTCGTTGAATTTAAGAAATCTGAATCTGTCACCTCATACGTTCTCCCTACATTTAACTACGGAATGATAGAGAAATGACCCAAAATTTCCCGTATGGGATCGTATCCCATGAAATGTATAATTCCTTGTCCAAGACAACATTAAATTACCCACGTGGACCCACCTAATTGTGAGGTCCTGACTTCATCGAATTCAATTCGATATTGCTTCCTTCTATTTGTGTCTCCTCTCTCTTGACTTTGTACACGGTCTAGTAGTAAGTAGTAACTATTTCGGGTAGGAGTAGACATCAGATCTGAATCACAAGCCTAAGGTTTCACGGTCTGAATACTAAATCGCGACTTAATTAAATAAAATTGTCACAGCCTCTACAATTTTTGTTGGAATCAAACTTTGAATAATCTTTAAAGCAACAGTCAAGAGTTTTTACCACCACGATCTTTACCGCCAAAAATTTACAGCAAAAATCAAAAATCTAGAGCCATGTTCCTTACCAATCGAGACCATAATTTGTAAACATGTATTCTTTTTTTTGAATTCTTGATTTAGTTAAATTCTTCATGGGATTCATGGGACTTGCAGGAGCATACGGAACAGTACAGAGCGGAGGAGACTCGGCTACTTCTCCTGCGCAAACGGAAACCCAATAGACGACTGTTGGCGATGCGATCCAAAATGGCACCGCCGAAGAAAGCGTCTAGCATCTTGCGCAATCGGATTCGGACGAAACGCCATCGGAGGCCGCGACGGACGTTTCTACACCGTCACCGACCCATCGGATCACGATCCGGTTAAACCAAAACCCGGTACGCTCCGGTACGCCGTGGTACAAGATCGTCCGCTGTGGATCGTCTTCAAGCGCGACATGGTCATCACGTTAAACCAAGAACTCATCATGAACAGTTTCAAAACGATCGACGGTCGTGGCGCGAACGTGCACATCGCAGGCGGTGCATGCATCACGATACAGTACGTGACGAACATCATCGTGCATGGGATCAACATTCATGATTGTAAGAGAACTGGTAACGCTATGGTTAGGAGCTCGGAGACGCATTATGGTTGGAGAACGATGGCGGATGGTGATGGGATCTCGATTTTTGGGTCGAGCCATATTTGGATCGATCATAATTCTTTGTCGAATTGTGCTGATGGATTGATTGATGCCATAATGGGATCTACGGCTATTACCATTTCGAATAACTATCTCACGGACCATAACGAGGTTACGTATTCTTCTTTTCACCCTAATGCATTTATGCTACCAAATTTACATAAAATAGTAACGTGTGATATAGTAAAAACTAAAAAGTACCCTAAACATTATTACCACGTAATATTAATTACCGTGGATAATTCGGATGGTGAAAGTTTTTTTGTCTTTTTCTTGGGCCACACGTTAAGAGTTGACAAGAAATGGTAATGCAGGTTATATTGTTGGGGCATACAGATTCATACACGAGAGACAAAATGATGCAAGTGACCATTGCATACAACCATTTTGGAGAGGGTCTTATACAGAGAATGCCAAGGTTCTTCTTCATCTTTGGAGTATAGTGTTTTTTTTTTTGCCTTAAGAGAAATAAAATACTTATTAGTATCGAATGTTTTGTTGTTATTTCAGGTGCAGGCATGGTTACTTCCACGTGGTTAACAACGATTACACTCACTGGGAAATGTATGCGATCGGTGGAAGTGCTAATCCTACCATCAACAGTCAAGGAAACCGGTTCCTCGCCCCGGGAAACCGTTTTGCTAATGAGGTATCATTCGATAAATCTTCAGTTACATCGGTTTAATTTCTAGTTAACCCTAAAACTGCTCAGAGATGGTTATTGACAAGTCTTTTTTTCTTTGGGAAGGTGACGAAGAGGGTAGGTGCAGGGGAAGGAGAATGGAACCATTGGAACTGGAGATCACAAGGAGACTTAATGCTAAATGGTGCTTACTTTACTTCATCAGGAGCTGAAACTTCTGCAAGTTACGGTAGAGCTTCTAGTTTAGCTGCTAAATCATCTTCCCTTGTAGGTATGCTTACCTATAGCTCTGGTGCCTTGAGATGCAGGATCGGTACGCGTTGTTAATTACTTGTATAACCTGGAAGCCAAAACTGAAACCGAACACACATAGAAAAATATATGAAATGGGAAAAAAAGATAAGGAACTCATTTTTTTCTTCGTCCCCATGTTTTGACTATAAGTTGTAGTATAGTACATTGTTATATACTCTTCTATAAATAGATTGGTCAAGATCGAAAATTACTAGTTATAAATGTTTTGAATTCAATTTTGGAGTTCTATGAATGGTTTTGTTATGAAACAGACTAGTTTCTTCTACCAAGTGATGATACAAAACTTGTAGGTTGCAACAAAAGTTTCTTCTACCAATTCGCTTCGCTTCTTTTTTCGTTCACTTCTTGAGCATTTTTGCTTTTTGGGTAGATAGTCCTTAGAGAGAGAACTTGTAGGTTGCAACAAAAGTTTCAATGAATGCTAATTCCTCAAATAAAAACCCTTTAGTTAACTGGAACAGAGATGGGAAATCATTTCTTAACCGGAACTTTAACAATGCTTACACCTTTCAAATGACCTTTGTGTTGATCTTAAACCAAAGCACATAAAATACTACCTTTGTGAATTGATCTTAAACCAAAGAACATACAATTTTGCCTAGGTATTGTATCTTTATACATTGGAGATGTCTCTTATATGAGAACAAATTTTAAGCTTACTTGTACTTGTCCATGATTTTCTTTGCTTCTTCAAGTGGATCATCCATTGGCTTGGAACCAGAACTATTATCTTGTCCTCTCTGCTTAGGAGCTTCATCTTTGTTTAAGGCTATGAATAAGAAATATGCGAACCCCATCGTACCCTGCAACACACACACAAACAAAAAGCACCATTTACAGACTCTAGTCACACTAAGCAAACTAGCTTCTAAACAGGCAAACCAAAAAAAAAAAGACTAGAAAAAGTAAAGAGGTCACATACCAATACAAAGAAAGCTGTTGATAGAAATGACTTGATAACAAACAACGAAACCGCCAATGCTGCAGTTGTCACTGAGATTCTAGCAACTGGTCTAGGCACAGAAACCTTTTAAAGAAAAAGAAAGTGTGACTAAAACCATTTACGAGCTTGATAAGTAAAGTCAAGACTGAGAGAGCTCACAGGTACAAGGTTGGTTCCAGCTTCAATTCCATCTTTTCCAATATTCCAAGCGGTTCTAAGAACTTCTCAAGAAAAATGACACAAAATTTCGAAACATTAGCAGACACTCTTATACTATAAAGCATTTCAACTGCACAACAATCACCTTTGTAAGAGGGTTTCTTCTCATAAGCTCGTTGCACACAACATTGAACAAACCATTTTCATCAATCAATTAACACTTAATCCGAAACACTAGCAGAAACTCTTAAGTTATAACCATTTCAATTGCACATAATCAACTTTGTTCCAACAAATTCTACCATTAAAAAAAAAGTGATCAATTAGAGAGTTTTGCTCATACTGATTCGAGACAAGCTCCTTCCACACAACAATGATCATGCCCTTTTCATCAATCAAACGAAGATAGCTTCTTTCTTTGCGAGATCAATCAGTGACCCGTTTGCTTCAATTTCACAAACTTAAGAATCGAAACCCCAAATCCACTACGAATTTAAGTGAAAAAGGACAAACCTTTCAGGAAACCGGACTGAGCAGACAAAACGACGGTTTTGGTTCGCGCTCGTTGGGATTTAAGAGGTGAAATTCGAATTCTCGGATTCGGGAAAGATGCGTGTTTTAATCTCAAAACAGAGCACGGAGCATTAAGGGCTTGTAAGAATCTAGGATGGAGAGGTGAATGATTCAAAGATGGAAACGAAGAGAGAGAAGAAGCCATGACATGTGAATATGCTAAAGCGGCGAAGCTTGAGACTCTCTGGTTCTCTTCAAGAAGGTGACAAAATTAGATAAGAAAATGAAATTGAAGCTGCTAAACAAATATTCGGTTTATCTCAATCGGTTTGGTTATATCAAAATATACGGTTTAGCCAACCGATTCATAGGCCGTAATAAAGGGAATAAACCGGTTTTGATTAAACCGGTGAAAGAACCCTGCAAAAAAAATGTTACAATAAGACTATAGACTTGTTTATGTTTCAATAATGGTTGTGTTATTCTTTTCTTTTCACTTAAAGTGTATTCTCGTGGCCATTGATCTTATTTCTTAGTTGTACGAAGAAATCAAATCAATCTTATAAAATAAAAATAACAAACATGAGTTTCCATATGATCTACAGCCAGATTTATTCTCACCTAATAAAGGAATACATTTTCTTAATACAAATCAGAAGTGTAAACAGACTGAAACAAACTCCATTACGTAAGTAACATTTTATTTGATATCATTACGTAAGTAACTATATCGATGTAGTAATTTTTTAAAAAATGGATAGTAGGTTTATTATTTGGGGTTCTTGGTGTTCATGCTTTTCTCGACGGTCTTGGCCGTGGCTTTAATGGACTCCTTGGTTTCCTCGGATTTTCCCGTGACGGTATCTTTGATCTTCTCCGTAGTGTCCTTCACCTTATCCCATGTCTCCTCTGCAGTGTTCTTCACCTTATCCTTCAAGTTACCGGCCGCGTCGGAGATCGTCTGTGCTCCTTCGTCCGCCTTCTTGGCCACCTACATTGTCCGAATAGATTTGGTTATATGGATCGTTAGAATGAAATGAAATCGTATAGTATACTTTAAGAATCTAGGAGTTGTAGGAATATTTTGAAAATTTTGTTTAAATTCATGTCCCAATAACAAAGATTTTAATGGATTCATATAATCATAAGAACCCAAACTTTATGAATATCAATAGATTTTGTATGGATTTAAAAAATCATCAAACCATTAACAATAGATTTTTTTTTTTTTTAACAATCGTTTAAAATTTACCTTTTGTTGAGCCTCGGTGGCTTTGTCACAGACGGAAGCTTCTTTCCTCGTACTCCCCTTTGAGTATATATTCACAACATCAAGTATAATTAAGATTAGTTAAACGTATTGACAATATCTTATCACCAAAACATAAGTTTAAGATTATTGATTACATGGACGAGTCTTGTCGGGACGGAAGCAAGAGCTCTAGGAGTGATGAGTGCCTTGTTGCGGAGGGAAACTGCGATGGTTGATAAGCTTGCCATTTTTATTAGGGCTCTTCTTTTCCTTGATTAATTGTGGGATGAGTTTGTTAATTAGTTGACGTATACATTAGGTACCTGAAGGATTTATAGGTGTTTGAAGTCCTATGTGAAGAAGACACGTGGATCTTTTGGGATGGGGCATTGAGAGTTTGACTCGGAACATCGGGTGGTTCCAGTTTTGATTTGCTATTTTTAGCTTTGTCTTTGTGACACAATCCTTGGCGCCTCATTTTCCTTACTTGATGCTAGTTTAATTGACCGATCGAGGGAAAAAAGTAAAATAATGGTTCACAAAATAGATCACCATTGCTCCATGTATGATGTATTAAGCGTATGTCAGTTAGTCCAATTGACCGAACGTTCATTAATATTTTTACATTAGATTAGCTTAGGGTTCTCATTTCTAGTAAATGCAAATGCAAATTAATGTAGACATTTTTAATTACTAGAGATTGTTAGCATGTAGACTGTACCCACTAGCACCATCTTAAATCGAACGTTTACATAGTCACAAAGATAAGTAACCTTAGCTTTATAATTGATTGACTCATGATAAGAATCTCGGTACACGTTTTATTGTTTTAACGCCTTTGGTATCTTTGATCTGTTACCGATTTTCACATGCATGACATATAACATGAACTTATTGCTGGCTAAATCAACAAACCCATTCAAACAAATTCAGATTCAGAGTCAGGTGAATAAAGAAGGCCTTTACCATGTTCTTGAGCCAAGTGTGAGTTCAACGGTCAAGAAGGAGACACTAGAGCAGGGCACTTCGATCGGTCCTTGTTATATGGTTTAGAGATTAGGACCAAAAACGAGGAGACTTGACAACAGTAAATATTGATAATATTTGTATGACTTCTTTATCTCTGACCTGAGAAAATAAGTTAATATTCATTTCACAGTAACATAGAGAGAAGAAGCAAAAAACACTATATTTTTCGGCAGCTTATTCATTAAATCATTACGAGAGCAAGTTTCTCTGCAAACTGATCACCATATCACTTAGAAACTTCTACTTCACAGAGAACAACAAATTAAACTGAGATATTCAACCAAAATAATGTTTATTTTTATAACTCTCAACGGATCACAAAAAAAAACTTATTCTTCATCGAGAACAACAAAACCAAGATATTCAACCAAAATAGTGGTTTTTCTTATCTTTCTTACTGAATCATCAAGAAGTCTAATTTGTTAGTTCAATAGACGATACGTAACTTGTTATAGTTCTTTAACCTAGCAACATAGTAAACCAATATATTCAAGTAAGACAGTATCTCAAATGCAATTTAGCAGTCACTGGCACAATATAAGATAACCATAAAAAAATCTTAACAAAGTTCAAAAATGCAAATGGAGGTTTACAAATAACACGAGACAATTAGTGAAATCATCCATCAGACTGAAAAACAAAAATTATAAACTTAACCCCACACGAGTGATTAACTCATTCAAACAGTAGCAGAAAGGACATCCACAAATTGAATAGACTTGGGGACTTTAAGCACAACTTCAGACCATTCGAGTGTCCCCCAAATCTCATCACTACTAAGCCTTTCAAGCGCGATCACCGCGCACCAAACATTTCTTTCCTTACATTTGCTAGAATGATCAAGCCTGTCCCATAAAACTGCCATCTTTCCACCATAATCTGCCAAGTGAACCAGACTAGAAGTCTCCAAATAAGACAAAAAATTAGGGGACAAACCCTTCAACAATCTCCAGTATCCTACCTTAGTGTCTAACCATTTGAACACTCCCCTATCATTATAGTACAACACGTTATCTATCTCGCACAACAAGATCGTGATATATATTCTTTAGATTTATAATAACCATCCAGTGATTTCCATTCTTTAGTTTCGTAAGTCCAAGTTTGGGTTTTTGGATCGAAAACCTCTACCAAGTCAGAATTGGGGTAGTCAATGTTTCCTTTAACATATATCTTTCCATCGATGGCCTTGACGTCCGGGTTGATCCTTCTCACCTGCATGCTTGGAGCTTGGTGCCAAGTGTGAGACCTGCAATCAAAGACCGAGACGGTAGAGGAAGCCATGCCACTGATGTGTCCGCCGATTTCGTAGATGTCTGAACCAACAGCTGTGTAACTTGAGAAGGGAGGAGTAGAATGGGGAGATGTGATTGGAACCAAAAGATGGCTACTTTGCTTCTTCTTGGTCTTGGTTAGGTTTCGATTAGGTCTCCGGCAGAGAGTAAACCAGCAAAGGTTGTTAGGGTCAGAATAGAATCGTAAGTACACATAGAGACAACTCTCTGTGTGACCTAAGAGTGATCGGGTCTTGTAAAGCTCCGGTGAAGCAAGGAGAGATCGAAATCTCTTGGAGACGAGGGAGAGAGTCGGGTAATGCAATCTCGAGACGCGTGCGAAGCAACTCAGTAGCAAATCATCCGGAAGATCCGGAATCTGGGTTGATTGCGTGGTCGGTGGGAGGAGCAACGGTGATGGTTTCTTCTTCCTCGTCTTTTTTCTATTCTTCTTCTTTGAGGACAACATTGACGCTGACAAGAGCTCTCAGACTTTCTGTGAACAAATTCAAGGAGGACTTTAGGGTTTTGACTTGAGTTTCACTCTTATATTCCAAAAATAGTTCTGATTTGTGTCAGGTCTAAACCAAACCAAACTAAACCAAACTTACTGAGAACATACTCTTAAATTGCAAATATTTTCTTTTCTCTATGTAATCCGTGGAGAATATGTCCTTCTGAGAACATATTCAGTTATTCACTATATGATATAATTTAATCGTGAGTTTGTTTAAGAAAATTAGTGATGTCGATAAACTAATTAGTGCAGCCAGAGAAGTTCACTCAGATTCAGAACTACTTCTACTCACAGTACAGGTTGCTTCTGACTTCACGAAATGCGAGATTTCTCAAGGCATGAAACCAATAATCAACAAAAACATTCAAGCAGATTCAGAGTCAAGGTCAGGTGAATAAAGAAGGCATTTTCCATGTTCTTGAGCCAAGTGTGAGTTCAACAGTCAGCAAGTACACACTAGAGCAGGGACACTCTTCGATTGGTCCTGATATTGTGTAGAGATTAGGACCAAAATCGACGAGACTTGACAAAAGTAAATATTATTAATATTTGTATGTATCTTCTTTATCTCTGACCAAAACAGAATGTATCTTTTGATAGTTCTTTTTCCTTAAGCATCTACTAAACCAAGAGATTCAACAAAGTTAATGCATTTTTGCAGTTGCACAATACGAGCTACCCATTAAAAATCTCAACAAAGTTAGAAATGCAAGTAGATGCAACACATCAAAGAGTAGCAGCAACAACACCCACGAATGCAACAGACCCAGGGACTTTAAGCACAGCTTCAGAGTCATCAGACCACTCGACTCTCCCCCGAATCTCTTCACTAGTACGCCTTTCAAGCGTGACCACAGCACACAAAACTTTTCTTCCTTTACAGTTGCTAGAACGATCATGTCTGTCCCATAAAACCGCCATCTTTCCACCATAATCTGCCAACTGAATCTGACTAGATGTAGTCGAACAAGAGAAAAACGCAGGCAGACTGTACCATAAACCCTTCAAGGTTCTCCAGTCAGTTACCTTTTTGTCATACCATTTGAACTCTCCCTTATAATAGGAATACAACACGCTATCTATCACGCAACTAGAAGACGTCCGCGATGCCATTCCAAAAAACCTATCCGATACAATTCCATAATAATCATCCAGTGATTTCCATTCTGTAGATTCGTAATTCCAAGTTTGGGTTTTTGGATCGAAAACCTCTACCAAGTCCTCAAGACCTCTAACGTATATCTTTCCATCGATGACCTTGGCGTATGGTTGCTCCCTGGCCACAAGCATGTTTGGAGCTTTGCGCCAAGAGTGAGACCTGCAATCAAAGACCGAGACGGTAGAGGAAGCCGCGCCATTGACGAGTCCGCCGATTTCGTAGATTTCAGAACCGATGACGACGAAGCTAGGCCTAACGGGAGTAGAGTGAGGAGATGTGATTGGAACCAAAAGGTTGCTACTTTGCTTCTTCTTCCTCTTCTTGGTTAGGTTTCGATTAGGTCTCCGGCAGAGAGTAAACCAGCGAGGGTTAGGGTCAGGAGGGAGCGATAAGCAGACATAGAGACATCTCTCCGTGCGGTGTAAATGGGAGCGAGTCTGGTAAAGCTCCAGTGAAGAAAGGAGAGAACGGAAGCTTTTGGAGACGAGGGAGAGACTCGGATAGTGCAATCTCGAGACGCGTGCGAAGCAGCTCAGTAGCACATCATCGGGAAGTGTCGGATTTGGGGTTGATTGCGGGGTCGGTGGGAGCAACGGCGATCGTTTAAGTGACGGATTCTTCGTCCTCGCCGTATTCTTCTTTCTCTTCTTCTCAGGGGACGACATGGACGCCGGAATTAACGAGAAGTCCTCCGATTTGGAGAGCAAAAAATCTCAGAGGAACTTAGGGTTGAGTTTGACTCAAATTCCACAAATCGAGTTCTGATTTGTGTATCAAACCAAACCAAGCTTAACCAACTTTACTCAAATGAGCTAAAATTGATTGTTGAAAATTTGACTATAGAAAACCGAACCGGCATTGTCTTCTGTTCCAATTTGGCACTACACATGAACCGTACCAAAGTTTATCACTACTGAACTGGAACCAAACTAAAAATTATAATTCGGTTTCTTTCGGCGAGATTTTCCCAAATTAAACTGAATACACTGAAACCAAACCGAACCAAGTTTTATTATTATCGTACGACGTACGTGACTCGTCTTATTTTTTTTTTTTTGTGATCCAGGGCCTTTTACCGCGTCCCATCAAATTTGACATAGTTCTTGAAACCAAACGAAAGTAATGTTAAATCCATTGTGGTCATGAGTCGAATCTGGTGGCAGTACTCAGCTCTGAGCCCATTACCACTAGGCTACAACCACCTATTACGACTCGTTGTTTAATCAATTCTGCTAATCATTTTCTTGCCATTTAGGATATGATAGTTCTTTCAGCTTGTAAGTCTCTGCTTCATCACCCTTTTCCAGAAAAGTATACAAACCTCTAAATTATCTCTTTTTCTCTCTCTAGTTTCACCATCTGTATTCTGTACAACTCCAAACCGCTTACCATTGGGGAATCAAAGGGAAAAACCTGGCGAATATTACCTGACGTTCGGGACGTACCATGGGACGATCAGGTCCGGACGATGGCGTCGGACGGACTGTCCGGGACGCGGGATGCTCAACGTGGGACGATTTGGGAAGGAACCTAATCCCACCATGCATAAAAAATGACAAGTGTTAAAAAAGAGACAAAAATAATATTTTTTATGACACTTGTCACAAGAGACAACATTTGTCACACAAGAGACAACACTTGTCACCTCTCCAACAACCAAACTTGGAGACTGATGCGGGATCAGGTTTTACCTATTCCTATCCCTGATTCTGCAAGTGCACAGGTCAGGTGTAGTAACGGGTTATCGAACACAAGGAGCAGATAAGTGCACTACAAGCTATGCAAGTCTAACTTAGCTAGGACAAAGGATGAATTGGGGTTTGGTATGCAAAAGAACTAAATGAAAGAAAGTATAAAACGGTGTAAGTTCAATGTGGGAAAGACGCTAGGCAATAGGTAATTCGCAGAGATTCATATATGATAAGATTGATGATTGATTTATATCTATTTAGGGATATGGGATGTAAGATCCGTCTAGAACACCAAACACGAATGTAAAACCATTCCACTGTCGAGGCTCCGGTTCCTTTGTTAATCTACCTAGTCGCTAAACTTTTGGTATGTCCCTAGGTGATTAAATCAAGCATTAGATCGAGCAAGTTCGGATACAGTTCACTAGGTTATAGTAAATCAACTTTCGCAGTCTAAGAAACCTAGCTTGTCAAAGAATATGTCCGGCGAATGATACAACACTTTCGAGGCTCAAATCAACCTAAGATCGAATCACTAGATGTACGGTAAAGTGATTAGCATTAATTAAGTGTGCAAAACGAGACAAAGACTCTAATGATATCCCTAGTTAATTCATCAAATCATAATCAACACATGAACTCTTTGAAACCCTAAAACCTAACTAGAAATCTACTCAAACATGGTGCAAGTAAACAAGCATAGATCTGAGATAGAAATCATATTAATAAAGGAGAAAAGGGTTTAGAAAGCTTCTCTATGTCGAGATACAAAGAAGGGATCTTCTCCCTAAGGAAAACAATGAGAAAGAAGTAAAACAATGGAGATCCCTCTAAGGGGAGCTCCCTAGTGCGCCTCTCTCTTGTAGCTCTTCTCTGTGTCTCTCTATGCGGCTCTCTCTTCTAAAGAGGCTAAAAAGAGTATTTATAGTGCCCTAGGTCTTCCACAAGTCGGTTGAGGTGAAACGGGCTGAGAATAGTCGAAACTGCATAAGTGGGCTTCTTGTTCGCGGAGCTCGGGTCGACCGTGCAAGGGATGTGGTCGGCCGTCGGGGTCGGCCGTGATGTGATGTTCTCGGTCGATCGTGGTCCATTGCCTCCCGGCTCGGACGGTGCGGTCGTGCGGCCGGATCGGTCCTGGAGAAGGCCGAGCGAAGCCAATTCCCTTCCTGTCCGGCCGAGTGCGTTCGGCCGGCTGTGGACCAGTCTTCAGTACAAACGTGATATCTCCTAAACGCTCATCCAAATTGCATACTTCCAACGGCATTGGAACACTAACTCATCTGCCTATCTTGGTGTTGAGTTTCATTGAAATCCATTGAGTTTAAGGGTCCAAGCCGCTGCTGCTCGTCTGATGTACTGATGCAGTCCGATAAAGCTCCTCGTATATGTCTCAGGGAAATAGAGATATCTCCCAATCTACTCGGTCAAATTGATTGATTCCAGTTGCGTTGCAAAGCTAACTCACGTATGCATCGTCGAACTGGATTTGATGAAGTCCATTGAGTAGATGTTTTTAAGGGTTGATGCTACGTCTTGGAGTGGTCTTGAAGTCCAAATCATGTGTTTTGCTCCAAAATGCATCTTTTGACCTGTTTAGACTCTAAGTACTATAAATCCATAAAAACTACCTTTTTAGATCAGAAAGCCATTAAAAACCTTATGAAAAGCATAGTAAAACCATATAAAAAGCATGTAAAATAGAGGTATATCAGAGACCAAGTCTCTTTGTTCCCCCATCAAATCTATAAATACCAAGCTTTAGTTCACCCTTCCACCATTACAAACCAAACCTTTGTTGTAGAGAGAGAGAAAGAGGGTGAGAGAGAGAGAGAGAGTGAAGAGAAATCTTCTTTGATCCTTGTTAAATTTGTGAGTGTTTAGGGAGTGATTAGGCATTTTAGCTAGGACCTAGTAGCTGTTAGATCATCCAGAAAGATTAGATTAGAAGCCGTTCATCCGAGAGCACTGTGAGTTTTGGTGATGTGTGGTTGTTTGCTAGGAAATGTTACTAGATTTTGTGTTTATTTAATTGTTTTTGTTGAGATTACTTGCTAGATTCTCTTGCTAGATTCTGTGATACCTCACTTAAGCGACGTACTGTTAAGTGGGAAGACTCGGAGGTATGGGATAGCAGCCTAGGGCCAAGGGCTATTTCACTTCATTTAGGCGACGTACTGTTAAATAAGAATATTCGGAGGTACGGGGTTGCTTCCTATGGCGAGTATGAAATAGATAACCCGGGTTGTGACTCATTTGTGAGACAGGACTCGCGTGAGCCGTGAAAACGTGGACTTGCAGTAACGGGGCAGTCTTGGAGATGAAACTTGGGTAGTGATGTTCTGTCTCGCGTGCCTGTGTGGCTGTGAGATGGGTGTTCACGGGGAAGATCCGAATGCACAAGTGTGTTAAAGAAGGAGTGGTTGAGGAGGAGAAAGTTTTAGAATTTTTTTTTGATAATGCTAACATCTAACTTGTGTTCGTTGTAATCTTTAATTGGTTGTGCATGTTCTTGTTTGATTGTTGCATGATCAATTAAGGGTTATAATTAACATTATTGTGTATTGTGTGTTATTTTAGATTTTTGGGGTTGGTTTGTCATCTTGTTAGAGGTAGCCATTACTCATTGAGCGACTAGTGCTCAATCCCCCTTTTCCATCTTACATGTAACCAGTAGTGGAGCAAGGAACGTTAGGCCACCAGCGTAGTTTTTGTTATCTTTGTAAAATAGAACGTTTTGGAAATGTATTTATGGTTGTTTTGAGCAATAGACTCTGTCGTGAAAATGTTTTAAGTATTTGGGATGTTTTGTGAAACATTAATATATGTATAAAAGCTTATTTTCTATATTAACCGGTTTCACCTGATATTAGTCTTGTCCGGGCTAACACAACTCTCGACTTGGGAACGGGTTGCAAAGCCTTAGGCCTTGGTCGAGAGGGACGGTATTGAGAATGAATCGACCGAGCCCTTGGATGTGTTCTAAGGACTTGGTTGGACCGTACTCAGTATCCGTCAGTGGCATTTCTGGTTCATCTGTTTATAGATCGAGTCAGGGGTGTTACAAATTGTGGTATCAGAGCATGGTTCATGATCATGCGTCAGTGGGACTAGGTTTTCAAATGTTTTATCGAGTCAAAATGAGTCGCAAAGACAACTTAGGAAGCTGGTGGTACATTCCTTGGTAGGTAGTTAGATAGGTTAGAACTTACCTTTGGTGGATTATGTAGATGTCGGTGAGACGTTTTTCTTTAAGGAGCGTGGTGTAAATATCGCTGGCGGAAGGAGGAGAACCGGTTCAGGATGACTTTTCTAGCTCTTCAATTTCAGCAATAGAATCCGATTGGGGGCCATCAGATGATACAGAGACAGAGTTGGAGAGTGAGAGTGTTACTTTATCACTTGAAGATGATGAGGAAGAAGATGGTAACCACGATCAGCCAAAAGCAGTAGAGTCAAGGCGTATTTCTCCAGAGCAGAGAGAACGTGTGAACCAAGCGACAAATCGAATGATGACAGTGATGCATGATATATTGACTTACTTGAAGGACGAAAGGCAAGCAGCAACAAATGGTAAATCCGGAGGCTCGACATTTCCAGACTTCCTGAAGATCGTAACGATGATGAAGAAGCTTGGATCAACACATTATGGTGGAGGAACAAACCCATTTGATGCTGATAGTTGGTTGCAAAACATGGAGAAAAACTTTGCAGCCACTCGGTGTCCTGAAGATTTCAAGAAGGATGTCGCAGCAAACTATCTAGAGAAGGATGCTGCGAGTTGGTGGTCAACTGTTGAAAACTACTACAACAATCCAGGAGCGACATGGCAAGAGTTTGAGAAGGAATTTATAAGGAAATATTTTCCACCGGAGGCAAGAGATAGATTGGAGGCTCAGTTCTTGAGATTAGAACAAGGGAAGAGAAGCGTCAGAAACTACAAGGCAGAATTCACAAGACTCAGGAGATACGTTAGATATGGCCAAGGAGATGAAGCTGCGATAACAAGGATATTCATGCATGGGTTAAGACCAAAACTTTAGAGTCGACTCCAAGTGGTGGACTACATATCCTATCTTGAGTTAGTGGAGAGAGCCGTATATGTGGAAGCAGCCGTCAGTGCAGAAGAAGAAATGAGATCACAAAACCGCAAGAGAAAATATGATGGAGATACACAAGGAGAACCAAATCACCAAGCAAAGAGAAGAGAAAACAGAGGCGCCCTGACTAACACGCCCAGACACATTGCGCAAGAATGCCCAAGCAAGAACCGATATCGTCAACCAGTTCCGCCTCATATAGTTTGTCATTCTTGTGGAGAAAAAGGGTACTATTCAAACTTCTGTCTGAAACTACAACTCAACCAGATTATAGCATTTGAAGAACCTCCTCCACGGCCTGAAGCTGAAGCACCAGCACGCCCAGCGATCAAAGCACCAACGCCCTCACCACGTCAAGCCTATACTCGGACCGTGTCAGGACGAGTATATTCCCCTAATTAGGTTATAGTAAACCTTCATGACTTTTCAAAGTCTCCAAGAAAGGTAAGTGTGGGTGCTAACTCTTTGTTTGCTTGCTTGATTGTTTGTTTGCATGATTGTGTGTTTCTGTGAGTGGTAGAAATCGATTAGGTTTAGTCATAGGAGTAGTTACTCGAGAGAACCATAGGAAACCTACCTTAGAATTTAGGAAGCCCTTCGACCTAACCTTAGGAATTCGGGAAAAAAATCTTTTAAGGGGGGGGGGAGATTGTAATAACCCTGAGGTGAGATAAGTGTGGTAATCCCACCAGGGAGGTTGAAGAAAACAACCTTTGGGACGTTTGAGATGATCAACAAGACCGCGGGACGTACCGTGGGACAGTCGGGTCCGGACGATGGCGTCAGACGGACTGTCCGGAACGCGGGATGCTCACCGTGGGACGATTTGGGAAGGACCCCAATCCCACCATGCATCAAAAATGACAAGTGTTAAAAAAAGAGACAACAATAATCATTTTTATGACACTTGTCACAAGAGACAACACTTGTCACCTCTTCAACAACCAAACTTGGAGACCAAGTCTCTTTGTTCCCCCATCCAACCTATAAATACCAAGCCTTAGTTCACCCTTCCACCATTAGAAACCAAACCTTAGTTGTAGAGAGAGAGAGAAAGAGAGTGAGAGAGAGAGAGAGAGTGAAGAGAAATCTTCTTTGATCCTTGTTAAATCTGTAAGTGTTTAGAGAGTGATTAGGCGTTTTAGCTAGGACCTAGAAGTTGTTAGATCATCCAGGAAGATTAGATTATAAGCCGTTCAGCCGAGAGCACTGTGAGTTTTGGTGATGTGTGGTTGTTTGCTAGGAAATGTTGCTAGATTGTGTGTTTATTTAATTGTTTGTGTTGAGATTGCTTGCTAGGATTCACTTGCTAGATTCTGTGATAGATCTATTGCTTGTTTTAGATTAGGATGCTTGTTGCATGTTGTGTGGTCACTTTTGCATGCGAGATTTTACTAACCTCAACCGTGATTTCCAAAGAGTTTTTAAAGTGGATTTTGGTGGTGAGATGTGGTGGTGGTTCGGACTTCCTTTTATACCTCACTTAGGCGATGTACTATTAAGTGGGAAAACTCGGAGGTACGGGATAGCAGCGTAGGGCCGAGGGCTATTTCACCTCATTTAGGCGACATACTGTTAAATGAGAATAATCGGAGGTACGGGGTCGCTGCCTATGGCTGAGTATGAAATAGATAACCCGGGTTATGAGTCGTTTGTGAGACAGGACTCGCGTGAGCCGTGAAAACGTGGACTTGCATTAACGGGTCTGTCTTGGAGACGAAACTTGTGTAGTGATGTTCTGTCTTTCGTGCTTGTGTGGCTGTGAGATGGGTGTTCACGGGGAAGATCCGAATGCACGAGTGTGTTGAAGAAGGAGTGGTTGAGGAGGAGAAAGTTTTAGAAAATGTTTTTGATAATGCAAACATCTAACTTGTGTTCGTTGTAATCTTTAATTGGTTGTGCATGTTCTTGTTTGATTGTTGCATTATCAATTAAGGGTTATAATTAACATTATTGTGTATTGTGTGTTATTTTAGATTTTTGGGGTTGGTTTGTCATTTTGTTAGAGGTAGCCATTACTCACTGAGCGACTAGCGCTCAATCCCCTTTTTCATCTTACAGGTAACCAGTAGTGGAGCAAGGAATGTTAGGCCACCAGCGTAGCTTTTGTTGTCTTTGTAAAATAGAACGTTTTGGAAATGTATTTATCGTTGTTTTGAGCAATAGGCTCTGTTGTGAAAATATTTTAAGTATTTGGGATGTTTTATGAAGAAGGTCAAGGGATCTTCATCAAAAAGAACAAAGCAACTCTCACCTCTCCATTTCTTAGGAGCCGTTCAGTTTTGACCACACCAAGGAGACTCCCAGCTCAAGACCCTCCCAAAGCCTCATGATACGAGTCAAGAGAGGCAGGGGCCAACAGACAGAAGAGGAGGAAGATTTCAAGAGTACGACGTTCTGACTCGACCAGTGGACTCGATCGAGTCCAAACAGAGCAAACCGGACTCGGTCGAGCTGAGGGTCGAGTTGAACTTGAGGAGCCGGGATTTGAAATCCGGACTATGAGTTTGATCCAGCGCCTTACCAGGACTTCCATCAGACCAACTGGACTCCCTACAACCGGTTTGAGCAAGCTAGACTCCACCAAGGTCAAGGTAGCCACACTCACTTTGATGATGATGAAGAAGAGCATGCAAATGAAGGATGCACAAGCATTGTGGAATGGAGTTCCCCCGATGGTCGCCTGCCCTCTCCAGACCTTGCTTCCCAGTTCTTTGGGGAGCCCTAAGGTATCAAACACTTTCCTTTGTAAATACCATTTCATTTTCATGCATTTTTTCTTTGTTTTTCTTGGTTTTGCCCTCTTGAATCTTTCATTGAACTTCTTTCACACAAGAGACTGTGTGATTTAAGTTTGGGTAAGGTTCAAGAGATGATTTAACCTTGTTTATTATGTTCTTAGTTTTTCATTCATCTTTTTGCATAGAAAAACACAAAAAATCATAAAATTTTCAAAAAATCCAAAAATATTTTCATCTTTTTGCATTCATATTTGTTAGATTTGTTTAGGATTGCATCATTTACCTTGTTTTTATTGTGCATTGTTGATTTGATCTTGAGAACTTGTTCATCTTTTGCGATTTGTTAAGTGCCCCATTTTTATAGATTCTTTTGTGCATTAGGGTGAGATTGATTGAGCAACAAGGAACCATGTTTAACTTGATCATATCACTGCATGCACATCTCATTTAACCATCTGCTGTGATTTGATGCATTTCCCTACATTTTGAACCATAAACTTGATCTTTAATACCAATGCTTGCATTTGATTTCAACTCATGGCTACCACATACATATCTGGACATTCTTTACCTATTTCATATCCCTCTTGCTTGTCCAGATAGCTGATCTCCATCTTTGAGACAGTTACCACACCCTTAAACCTAAGCCTTTTTCATTTCAAACCCCATGTTATCTCTTGTGCGAATTGTGAGAACCTTTCTTGGCTTTGCTTAGCATAAGGTGTTGTGTTTAAACCGGCAGGGGCAGTAGTTCTAGTTGTCTAGTTCTCTTGGGTTGTTTTCAGGCTAAGTTTGGGGGTGCCAGGACTCGATTGAGTTGGGTAAAAACCAGAAAAGTGGTAAAAATTGGGAAAACCAAAGGAAAAAGAGTTTAGTTAAGTCCAGGGAGTTGGCAGTGTTAAAAAGGGTCTAGTAAAGGTTTGGGAAGTTAAAAAGGAAGTAAAAAGGGTTCTAAGTAGAAAGAAAAGAAGGCAAAGCCTCAAGTGTCAAAAAGAAAGAAAAGTTCCCTAAGTGTTTAGAAAATCCCAAACCGCTAGATGTTACCTCAAGAAGCCTCTCCCTAGGATGTTCTTAAAAGAAAAGTGAGCAAAGCTCCTCTGTTTCAAAGGCGAAATGCCAAAAAGGGTAGTTAGGATTTTGTTCTAAAAAGCTCTAAGTGTTGAACTCGATCGAGTTAGGATTAGGCGGCTCGAGCTGCTGTTCTTGCATCATCTTGGTTCTAACACTTAGCCTTCTGCCAAAGCAAAGCCACTTTCTTGAGAGATCCCTGTTACTAAACCACCATACAAAAGAGACCCTCTTTGTCTCTTAACCCATAAACCCTTGAAACCAAATGAGTTGATTGATCTTGCATGTTTTTGGTTCACTGTTTTCTTAATGAATGTTAAAGGGATTTGCTGATTTGAATGCATTGTTTGAGTGACTGTGAAGTGGGATTGATGTTGATAAGCATGGTTAAATCTTAAATGAATATCTCTCACCTTGTTGCATTCTAGAATCTCTAAGTTGGACATTTAGCAAATCGCTTTTGAGGACATGTTTTTGAGTGTTGAATCAACCTGTTTTCCAAACCTCATCTCTTTCTTGTTCTATTTGTTTGCTTGAGGGCAAGCAAAGGTCAAGTTTGGGGGTGTTGATGTACTTGCATTTTACATGGTTTTAGTACATCTTTTATGCATCTTTTGCATAGTTTTAGCATCCATTAGCATCATATCTTGTTCCTTTTCTCTTCTTATGCATTCATAGTAGTTTTAGCACATCTTTTATGCATCTTTTGCATAGTTTTAGCATCCATTAGCATCATATCTTGTTCCTTTTCCGTTCTTATGCATTTCATTGTAGTTTTAGATGATTCATCCAGCTTAAACATCCAACTGATGAAACAAACATGGCCTAAACCACAGAGGAACAGGCAAATATTATCAACTCACAATTTAATAAGCCCATAATTTCTGCTGGTCTCTATATATTTAACCACTCTGCAATTTTTCTTTGAAACTCATGGAAAACGGAAGATAGCTTTTGACATTCTTGCTTAATGTTTTCCTTTTTTATTGTAACCTTTTGACAATCTTTGAACAGAAAGTTGGAAATTTTTGAGTTTAGACTTCTCCCAAAACCAATTTTTTGTGGGTTCCAATTAACCTCTTGGTTATGTAAACCATTATAGATTCTAACTTTATGATTGATCAAAAATGTTTTTGCCATTGTATGTTTTGTCAATCGAGTCGTGAGCCAAAAGGCCCATCATTATTACATAGCCCACTAATTAATCTATTACTTGCATATATTTTTTGGAGGCGACCATTTTACGTAGAGGCCACGTTTTATGGTGGTGTTTTTTTTCTTTCTAATATTCTGATTAATCAAAAATATACATCAATTTTTAAGAACGCGAATTACGTAAAACCAAAGAATCAAAGATTGTAATTGTGACAAGCAAATTTCTTAATAACAATAACAAAAAAAAAAAAAGTAAGTAACACAGAGGAAGAAGAAGAATCAAACAAAGGACGAAAAACAAAATAAAATGGCGTATCGGAGAAGACAAGGGATCACGAGAGCTTCCACATTCAAGGAAGATATCTATAATCAACCACCTGATCACGATCACGGTGATCTCAAAGGTCACTCCAATGGTGGATCCTTCAGATCTTCTCAATCGTTCTCTTCTCATTCCTCCCTTGCTGCTCAAGCAATCCGCGCTTCCTCTTCTCTTAACCCCGATTCCAGTTCTCAGGTCTTTCTCTCTCTCTCTCTCTTTCTCATGAAAATTATTCCCCTGAAAGAAAAAAAAAGCCTAAATTCGGCAAATTGCAGGTACGAGGATTCACCGCTTATGAGGATAGGAACGAGAGTCGCGGATTCTGGGGAATTCTAGCACAGAAAGCGAAATCAATCCTCGAGGACGAAGAAGAGCAACAGCAGCAGCAACAAAACGTCGTCGTTTCCGAGACCTCGAATAATCCGACGATACGCAAAAGCATAGACAAAATCACGACGTCGTTGAATCAGATCGGAGACAGTTTCGAGAAAGCATTCGAGGAGGGCCGTACGATCGTAGCTTCTCAGATCAGGCGAAAAGGATCCGATCTAATCGATTCCGAGAGTAATCATCAATCCTCTGGATCAAACAGTCCATGGCA